AAAGCAAAGCGGTGGTAGGTCGGTACATTTAAACTCTGGACCAGTAGATCCTGAAGGAGGAGAATAACCTGCATTGTCCAGCCACCCTGAACACTTTTCAGTTCAGAAATCTGATCAGGAATACCTTTTTGCTGATTAAGAATACTGAAACAAAATGGGCCGAGCAGGAACAACGAAGAAGGCAATGCAATATTTCCTGTTTCTCTGCCTGTTTTCGAGTTGGAGCCTTGCTGTGACAGGTTAGCGAGCGTTAGCTGATCTGGGAACAGGTTAGCCTCCTGTCCTAGACTGCCAGCTGTAGGACACTATCAGAGCAGTCGTTTGTTTTTCTCGTGAATGTGAAGAAGTGTCTAAAGGACACGTGTTCAGAGGTAAAGACGTCACCAGAGAAGAACTGTCCTTAGGGCAACTGTGTCAAAAACCTCTCACTCAAAAGGTGAAGCACGGAGCCAACAATATACCATAATAATGTTTTTAAAAGTAAAACATAACGTCTGGTTTCATATTGATACACTGCAAAAAAAAAACCCGACTTGCTAAATATTAGGCAAATGTAAAAAATACAGTTGGCCCAACTTTTTCATGATAATTTAACTGACGCAATAACCTATAGTGAGTTAATGTCTGTCTCATAGCAGTCACGCTGCATCAGTAGACAACTTCCAGTTGATGCAACGTTTTTCTATGAGTTCTAGTACCTGGGCGGTTCTACTGCTGAGCAAACTGACACAGTAGCGTCCAACTCATTATCTATAAACACGGAGCTACATAAAAGAGTAAATCAAACCCAGTGTACAAAACTACAAACTCTTTAGTTTATGTTGTAAACTTAGCTGATTTTCATATAGTAGGCTGGACATCAGCTAGATGACGCTATCTAACATGCTAACGGGCTAATAACGCAGCTAACATGCTAACGGACTAATAACCCAGCTAACATGACGAGTCAGACCGAGCTCGGCTGCTGTCCGGCGGTCTTGGCTAAGAGTTTTGGCACACCGGACTCGGGACAGGTATGGGTGAAGCTAGACAACTGATGTTTCAGCAAAAAATTAAAGGGTAGATTCCACCCTTTGAGGCAGATTCCACCTATATGAGCAAGATTCCACCTGAATTGCGGCAGATTCCACCTGTATTGAGGCAGATTCTACCCATACTGAGGTCCGAGCTGTCACTAATGCTCCACTACAGAGACGGGAAGCGCGCGCTTAGAGCAGCTTCTGGAAACTTCGGAAGGCTTCAAAACGGGTCTATTAAGTAAATACTTAGTTTATTTGATGTACCAACAGTTTTTCAGTCAGAGTTAGGTTTACTCAAATCCAGTCCTACGTTTGTTATGATTTGTTAGTTGAAGTCTTTATGTGTCAAAATGAAAATGAGCATCACTTGGTAACAGTCAGTTAGCTCGTTGTTATCTGCTGTGGTAGCAAGACTACCGAGTGACCTCTTTTAGATGAATGTTTGCTCTCACAAAACAAGACAGAAGATGAAATAATCCCATTTTGACTTGAGATGGTGTCGAATTTATATTCTAATATAGCTAGCTATATTTTACTAAACTGGTGTGTACAGTTGTTAGCTGACTAATAACTAATTTCGCTAGCGAGATTGAGAGGTAACGTGTTAGCACAAGCTTAGCTAATGTTAGCTGGCCAAGTTAATATCTCTGCTGGAAAGCCGGCTCAGTTCTGGCTAACTGACTAACGAATAAAGACACCTGAACAAGAGACTTTGAGTGACAGGTGTTGGAGTGAGAGAAAAGGAGAAACTAAGCAGGTTCTGTGATGTCTGGGGTTGTTAGCTTGCTGGCTAGCGGGCTATTGGCTTCACACAACACAGACCAGTTTAAGTGCTTCAATTACATGAGTTTTTATAAAATTATATATATATTATGCATATTTCCATGTCACCTCAAATTGTGGAATGAAAACATTGAGAGTTAAGGTAACTTAATGAAAAGTTAGAAAAATAAGAGAACTATGGCCTCCTGTTTCATTCAGAATTGGTAGCTAACATTTGTCAGTACAATGTGGACCAGAGTCTGCCCACTTTTAAGGATGGAGGCAGCAGCCTTTGAGCTCGACTACAGCAGATTGTATTTACTCATCTACCTTCTTCACTTCTCTAGAGTTTTAATGACATATATCTGCTTCCATGGTGGATCACCATCTCTGTGTTGGTCCTGGTTGGGGTCTTGATCATTGATGAACGAGGTGAAAGGATCAACAAATTATGCAGAGAAACAGATCAGCTACATTCTGCAATTCCAGAACTACAAAGTGCACTTACACATTAAATGGACCTGATTAAATGGAAAATAAGCATAAATACAAGGTACCGACAATTAAAACAATTGCTTTAAAATGTTTTTTTTTCTACTTTAAAAGTTCATGTCTGTTCATGTCCACATACTGGTGAATTCAGCTGAGCTTTAAGAATTGTTACATTTACAAGACATGATACAGTACATAGTGGCTTGATGTATGACATTATGTTCTTAGAACTCTGGTAGATATTTGGTTGCTCAGCTGTGATCACCTGTGTTGTACTACCTCTTTTATTTCTTTACACGTTCACGGTTTTACTGTAGAGCTGGACACTGTGTTCTTTAAGTTTAATGACACAACTTAATATTCCTTAGTACTGATTTCCAATGAATATTTGTGGTTGACTTCAGAAAGCTTTGTTTAATGAGCGAGAATGTAATGGTTACAGGACCTACATTTTTTTTGTTAAACAAATAAAAGATAGTACAACTCAAAGAGCTTTGCTCAAGACCAGTTATACTTCTGAGTACCACAAATGTTCTCATGATAGCTCAACTAAACATTTCTTTTGGCATTTACAAAATGTCAGTCAGTATAACTAATAATTTGCAAAAGTTGAGTGAACAAATTCTGTACCATTGTTTTGTTGTGCAAGCTAAAAAATCTTTACAGTGTAGGAGTGTATCAGACGCAGCTGTGCTGTGGGAGATTTTACACACCTCACTGTCAATGCTGCGTTGAGAATAGTCCACTAACCAAAAACATCCAGCCAACATTGGCCCTGTGGTCAGAAACTGACCGCTGATGAAGGGCTAGAGGATGACTGACACAATGTGCATGCAAAAAGATGAGCTATAGTATCCAAATGTAAATCTCATCTACAAAGAGTACCAACAAAATAAGAACCGTTAGTGTGCATTGTCTAAACTGCCCGTTTCATGGAAAACTGATTTTTCTTTGTTGTTGTTTTTCTCTTCAATAACAGAATTTTAATTTTTATTATTTGAGTTTTATGTTATTTTTTCAGTTCCTAATTCTATTATAGGTGTTTTTTGACCAGATCCACACCAGCTAAACTTCTTTCTCTAAACAAAACTTATTTTGCAAATCCAACACCTTATTGCAAAAGAAGGGGGTCCATTTAAGGGTCCACTTGGATGGGATAATAGTGTTGAATGCCGAGTTGTAGTCAACGAACAGCATTCTCATCTTAAAGACAAAAATCCCCTTTTCTTAGCATAATCACACATTAATGCAGCACCAGACTCTCTCCACAAAGGTTTTCTATCCAAACTGGTTTGTAATTGAGGTTTGTATTTTAATAATTGATATTGTTAATCATCATCATCATCATTATGATATTGAAATATTTAACTATATTTCATATAATGATACGTAACAAACTACTAATGCATATAAATTTTAATAAAATCTAATGTAATAATATAATGAGTATGTGAAATAACTGTCCTGTTCTGTGACCCCTTTCCATTTTTAGTAACGCCTAACATACTCAACTCCTCTACTGCTCAGAAACGCTCCACATAATGCTAATGTAAATATTTGGTAGACAAAAAATGACTATGAAACATGCAGATGAGCTATTTTTATTGATATCACAAGAAGATTCTGAGTAGGTGCTCTGAGTGGATGAACCTCATGTCTGTCTGCGCTCCACTCTGTAAGGGCTGCTGGACACTGAAGAGCTTCCTGAGCACTGTTTAGAGATGAGGGACAGAACACGCAAAGTTCCATGTTAAAATAACTGTTAAACGTATGAATAAATATATTTAGAGTTTGACGTTTTCTACTTAGTTTTCTGTTACTGGAAATACCTGAAGAAAAAAATAGCTGCAATGACTGGGAGACTTACCTCATTAACAAAAAGACTGAGAATCTTCTGGAAACTTCGGACTTCTTCTACTGTGGAGAAAAGGATATTAATGCAGAATCAGTCTGAGAGGTGGGTGGTTTCTGAGAGAAGGCCTGGTGGTGAGAAGATGCTGTTAGGACACTGAAAAAGCCAAAAAAAGAGAAGAAAAAAATGATCATGAAGCTGAAGTGAAGCTGAAAGGCCTTGTGTTGAGAAGGCAGAGTTTGCAACTCTTAAAAAACTACAGATTGTTTTATTACCTAATGAAAGTGTAACTTCATTATCTGGCAACCACCTCCAATGAACCTATGCTTTACTCAGTGATTAAACTACACTATCAAACAAGAGAAGTAATGAATGCTTCTTGAACAGGTAAGAAATACAAAACAATCTAAAATGTATTTCAAACAAGTTTTGAGGAGCTCCTTGTCCACAAATCTGAGAAAAATTACAGACTGGTTCAATGGTGCAGTTATACCATACCCAGATTTCCACTATTATTTAGAAAAGTCAATAAATACAAATGTTAAAAATGAATCATACATAATAAAGTGGCACAGATTCATATGAGCACAGCTCACTGAAAAAGGCCAGAGAACACTTGTTCTAGCCTGCTGGTACTAAATTAGTACAAATTACATGATTTGCCTCAGAACGGATTTGCCTCTTGTTCTCTCAACAACACCATCAAATTCAAAGTTTACCCTACCAAATACACTCAGTGTTCTTTCTGGAACCCGTTCTCAAATAAATATACTTGAAACGCTTTGTAAACATAACTAACTCGCCCTAATTGAAGTCTTAGAACTTAAACTCAGATACTTACCATTTGGAATGGGTATATTCTTGGTCCTGTTTATGGATGGCACAGTCGCTTAATCTGCTCTTTTTCTCCATTTCTGTAAAAAGAAGAGAAAATCTGCATTTGAAAAAACCACAGTGCAACCACAAAACAATACATCTTTTATAGAGTAAGGAAGTAAAGAACTGTACTAGAGTCTGGCGTTCTGGAGAATAATTGACACAGAAGTAAAATGAATTAACTAACCTTAAAACTGAGCTTTGGCATCCTGATCTTCGGCAACCAGAATCTGCTGAAACACTTGAAAACAGACGGTTGTGGCCTCGGACTGTTCTCACACTTTTCATCTGTGTTTATCTGAGTCTCTGAGGCCGGTTCCTCTGCTTCTGGCTCCTGGAAAGACTGAAGCTGCGAGCCAGGTTCCTCATTCTCCTCACTGTCTCTCACATTAAAAGGTGTGGTGGGCTCAGCGAGGGATGATGTTGGGAGTTTAGGCTGCTCTGGGCTCAGTGCTCCTCCATTTAGAGAAACAGACCAGCTGAATCCTTGGAGATTCTGTTGCTCTCTGGGCTTGTCTTGCTGCTGGTCTTTATTATTGTGTTGGTTTCTGTTAAAGGCCCTGGTTTCTCCAATAGGCCAGGAGGGCTCAGTGAGGGATGAAGATGCTTCAGGCTGCTCTGGGCTCAGGACTCCTCCGTTTAGCTTTTCTTGCTCTCGTGATTCGTCCTGCTTCTGGTCACATGTCTTCTGTTGGTTTCCATCACTAAAGGCCCTTTTTTCTACTTTGTGGTGCAGCTTTTCCCCTTTCTGCATCTTCATGTCCATCTGTTCCCTACAGTTTAGGACTGTGAGGAGGTTAAAAACATGTAAAAAATCAAAATAACCATCACGATATTTCCTTTCTTCCTCTCTTTTTCTTTCTCTCTGTGAAATTCTCTCCTTCATCATCTCCAGTCCTCTCCTCAGTTCTTCTTCTCTCTCTCTGGCTTTTCGGTTCTCCATCCTTCTCTTCGATAATATATCTTTCATTTGTTTCAGCTCTCTCTTTAGAGCTTCCTCTTTTTCTATGCAGCTTTGAATCTCTAACTTCTGCTGCTGAAGTCTCTTCTTCAGATCTCTGATCTTCTTCTTCTGAATCTCTCCCACTCCTATCATCTCCTCTGTACAGGCCTCTCTCATGCAGTCCTGTCCACTCTTCTACAACACAAAACAAGCATTTGTCATGAACACTTTTTTGTTTACCAAAGCAAACTGGGCAAATCCAGAGTCCAAAAGGAAAGTGACTGAATTCATCTTGGAATAAACAGCTTTGGGATGGTGATCTCTGTCTATTCAAGCTGGATTAGTTTTGTCCGGAGTGGTAGCTTCTGGAGGTAATTGAAGTGATTACTGATGAGATCAGGTCGGCACAAGTTAGCAACGTCCATAGTTTTACAGTCTAACAGTAATAACTGTGGAGTACATGACCTTAATAGAGCTTCCTCAGTAATACTAGTCCTCTTCTAATCTACCTCACTGTAAAGTGATAAAACCTGCTAACACACACGTCTGTGTGACATGTTTTTATTTAGTATTACGCTGAACGTCACATTCAGGCTCTGATGTTTTAATCGAGACCCTCTGTGATAATTTAGGGAAATAACACTTTATCCTGTAAAAAGCTGCTTGTTAAATTACTTACAGGTTACATTACAGACCTACTCTACTAAAATTAGTCCAACTTGAATAAAGCTTAAGTGTCTTTAAACTTTTGCCAGTCATCATCAGTAGTATGGTGAATGAGACTATGTGTCTTACCTTTCTAGTTGATGTCTCACTCTCTCTGTTTTGCTGCCTCCTCCCCTCTTCCAGCTTCCTCTGCCTCTTCTTCTCCTCTTCATTCTTATGGGGGATGATTTTCCTCCTACGGAGGCAGCTGCACCAGCAACCACAGCCTGTGGGACTGGGTGGCGATTGCTCGTCTTGGTTTGACTTCATTGTGTTTTCTGAATTTGGCTTTAAAACCAAAATTCCTGGATTAATATATAGATAAAGAAATTGGTTTCAGGTTACAATTAAGGATATGTTGAAAGGTTAAATTACAAAAATGCAATATATGATGATATATATATATATATATATATATATATGTATACACACACACACATCACTGCTGTTGGAATGAAACCTTGCATCTCTAAAATGATAACTTTACAGGAGAAGGAAGACATATACTTTAATTTGAATATATGTCAGTGGAACCAGAGTTTTTCTCCAAGTAATTGGGCCATTTTTTTGGTCCATTCTTCATGAAATTTACACACAATGTGAAGAGCATGCATTAATGCATAGAAACCGCTTAGTTTATATATATATATATATATATATATATATACATATATATATATATTACATACATATATATATATATATATATATATAGTGTGTTGTGTGTGTATGTATATATATACACACACACACACACACACATACACACATCTATATATTTATACACAAACACTAATTTCTTCACTCAAGCATTCTTTTCTGTGTTCTTTTCTGTGTTCTTTTTATCTCTATGCTGTAATGAACGCTCTTTGGAATCAATCAGCAGCTATAAATAGAATAGAATTCTACTTACGTCTTGTTTGTTCCCTGTTTAATATCTCAGCTGTAACCTCGAACCTCTCTGATCGACGACTTTCATCAACTGCTGCGGACTTCGTTGTGACGTCACTATTTAAATACTACAGGCCACGCCCCTTAGCAACGGTAACTAAGGGGCATTGTCTGTAGCGCATATACTGTGACGTCACAATGAAGTCAGTTCTACCACCGGCAAATGTATTGAGACAGTGACCGCGTTTGGTTCATGTCTCTGTATTTGTGATGCGCGTTGGTTTCCAGTGATGGGATCTCTCTTAATCAAAGAGACGGCAGATCAAATGTAAATCAACGTGTTTATGATTTAAAAATCTGAACATTCTCCAACTGTTTGTAAGAAGTGATTTCTCTTTTTACACAGATTCTGACATTCACCAATGTTTTCTCATTTGGGGTTTGTTCTTAGGTAAGAACAGAATCTACACACTCAAGAGCACAAAGGTGTGAACAGTTCTGCAGATTGTGAATGTGATGTAGACTTTTTTAGGATTTTTCTCAAGAACAAATTTAAGAACAAACGTAGGAAGATGTCGGTGAATGAGGTCCATTAATGTTAAACTAGCAGACATAAAAATCAATACCTGATAAATACCAGTAAATACAGTAACGTACTAATCTAGCTAATGTGAATAAACTATCCGGATTAAGGCTGTATTTACAATGCACACTTACTCAGCACTCACAATCACTGTAAATAGAACAGTATGACTACCTCACATCAAGTATAGACACCTTGTGTAGGTTATTAAATGAAATAAGCTCAGCACGAAAACAGGAAAACAATGAACCTTACACCAAGTTCTCTGTGCTTCACTAACATCTGGGCCTTTATATAAACAGCACAAACACGAGTCACTGCGTTCTCTCTGTTATTTACCCAGACAGCACAGTTTCGTCCCGAGACGCCGGATTCATATCAGTGTATCATCAAAAACATTGCGTTCCTTTTAAAAACTCCGTAAATGTATCATCTGCACGTCGGACTACGATTTAAAACGGCAGCGTTATCATCATCTCCGGCTGAGGCGTCAAAACAGCCTCAGTTCTGATTGGACGGTCGGAGGAAGAAACACAAGAGCTGTATTTTCAGATTACTGCTCTTTTATTCAGATGCAGCAGAGTTCAGCCACCTTTATCCTGCGCGGCGCTTTTAACACGTACCTTTACTCACGGTTTTGTTTCTCCTAATGACGTCATGCATTTACATTAATATTATTGATATTTTTCTGATATTAGCTCAATTGCAGCAAGATTAATTAAACTTTCCTTGTGCAGCATTAAAGATGAGCAAACTGTTTAAATGTATTTTTACTTCAGTCAAAGTCAATAAAGGACGAGAGAGAGAAAGAGAGAGAGAGAGAGACAGAGAAAGAGAGATAGACAGAGAGAGAGAGAGAGAGAGAGAGAGAGAGAGAGAGAGAGAGAGAGAAGGAGACAGAGAGATAGACAGAGAGAGAGAGAGAGGAAGGGAGAAAATGCGTGCGTGCCTGAAATGTTTGTAAAAAAAAAAAGCTATTCTACGCTGCTGTAAAACAAGAATTATTTTAACTTAGAAAAGTGAGTAAACTGTCTGTTTCAAAATTTCACTGATGCTGTAATAGTCACTACCCCTGTGTAACCTGTGTGTTTCATTCTGTTGGCTCATCGTATGAAGTACAATAAAATTAAAGGCAGCAGGGCTGCTGACCTTTTTACCTGATCCATGTCATCAGCAAATGATCCAGCCTGGTATGAGCTGGATCAGGTATGTTGTGTCAAGTATTACTTTGACTGTGTAAGGCAGTGAGTCCCCAGGACTTGAGATGAGACCCACTGCTCTTCAGGTGTCAGACTGCAGACCTGGAGGAGCACAGCACTGCAAAGTGTAGCGCTCTACCTCATTTAACACACCTGTTTCAGCTCATCACCTTGTTAGCCCCTCTCCTTCTTTACTTCTGAAAGACTCAGCCTCTCTGGGATGCTCTTTTTATTATACCCAATCATGTTACTAACCTGTTTCCAACCAACCACCAGGTGTTGCATTACACAACTTTACCAGCCTTTTGTTGCCCCCGTCCCAACTTTTTTGGAAAGTGTTGTTGGCATCAAATTCAAAATGGGCAAATCATTTTCAAAAAACAATAAAATTTCTCAATTTCAACATTTGATTTGTTGTCTTTGTACTATTTTCATCGCATTTTGTTTTTAATTACATTTTGCACAGTGTCCCAACATTTTTAGAAAAATAGGGCTGTACAACAAATGTTAGCTCAACTAAATATTTCTTTTAGTGTTAATAAAAAAATGTCAGTCAGTACAACAAAGAATTTACAAAAGTTGAGTGAACAAGAAAAAATTCAGAGAAATTCTGTACCATTTTTTATGTTGCGCAAGCTAAAGAATTTTTACAGTGTATTAATTGGTTGGATGTTTTAATAAACAAAATTTTAATGCAACGGAACTTGGCTAGAGAAAAAAAATAATCTCATGGCTTTTGGAAAATGTAACATGGACTTTGAAAGTCTAAGGAGTAAAACGTATGTAGGTTTCCTCTTGAAAATGTAATTTAGGAAAAGTACAAGCACAAAAATTCAACAATACTCCAGGAAGCATGTTACAGCATGAAACGTGTGAGAAATAATGTGAAGTGTCTATAATTGTTCACATTAAATCAGAAATAGTCAGACCTCAGTTAGACATCAAGATATGATAAATATTTTAATTAGGATCAAAAAACTTATAAGCATATTTACAGCAGGGGGAGTGTGTTTCATATTTGTATAAATGCCGCTGTGCCACAGACTCTTTCCAGCATAATCGTCGCGCTGCAAATTTTGTCAGTAAAGCTTCGCCAATTACTACACATTTGATAACACTGACTAATTTCTCACACTGACTACACAAGAGATGATCTTTGTATGTCCATCTAACTACTACTAGTACTTTGCTTCACAAATTCGTCACACTTTCTCACTTCAAAATGATTTAATCTATTTACAGCCATATAGAGTGCAGTTGAGTGTCCTTAACATATAAGACCCTATATATCCACAGCAATGAGTTTCACACATATTTAGTCAGGTTCCCTTTATTTAAAACCTTCTCAAACATTCAACAGCATACACAGTGTATGTGCATTTAATATAGTAATAATTCATTCCAGTGCATGTTTTCCAAAGGGGCCAGTGAACATGGATAAAGGACATGCAAGATCAATTATCAGTTGTGCAAAGAATGTTTGTAGGGGAGTAACAGTGTTCATGCTTTTGGTTGTAAGACATCATGCAGAGGTATATTACTGTGATCATATCCTCAACATGTTAATTCATATACTGGGAACTGGAGCTTGTTATAAGTTAGGCTACACATTTGTGCAGGCATGATGCTGAAACTGTGAAACTGTGTTACTATGTTCAGTTTATTGTGCTGTATGAAGTGCATGCCAATATTGTGCTTTAGACTAATGTTTTTTCTGTAAACTTGGGCCTCAGTAATATTACACATTTGACACCAGTTCAATAATAACATTATGTTGCATACTACTGGCTGACTACCTATCATATGACCGCCCACACGGCTTGTCCTTACATGAGAGATAACAGAGATAACAAATGACTGCGTTTCTGACAACAGCAGAAAAAGATATTTCCGCTCACAGATTGTCATGATTCCACCTACAAATCATTCTGTATAACTGTTGTTCCCTTTTTTCCATTAATTGCCTCTCACTGATATGAAAAGAGAACATTTCAGGGCTCTTTTGCACATAAAACTGTTTTTGCCCAGAGTGTCTGCAACAGACCTACAGAGTCTATTTCACAATACAAAAAATGACAGTTTTGTAAGCTTTTCCCTACTATACCAGGATTCATTTGGGTCAGGGTTTAGAGTTTGGAGTGGACCAGTGACCTAAAAGCTCCAGAAATCAGATCACCAAGAGTATGTGAAAGAAGCCTCCAACTGCTGAAGATAAGCGCATGTTTTTCCCTGCTGTTGAAAGAAATCTGTGCATGTCACTGACAGATTTTTAGGATGGAATTCCTCTAAAGGGAAGGCTAATTCCATGTAATATTCTGTCAAGTTTTCAAAGACACTTCTACTTATCATGCCTTTAAAAATCCCTAATAAATATTGCCATAATAAGAGGTTAGAATAAAGACAGTGCAACAGTAAGATTAAGAAGTTAACAGTAAAGGCTTAAAAATTAGTGCATTGCATCATCCTATCCCACAACCAAAAAAATATTCATCACAATTCCCAGCAACAATCTAAAGGTCTATTCAGAAAGAAGTAACCTGTGTGCCATGCGCCAAACGTTGTGCTACAGCTGCTTCACAACCATCATCATCATGTGCTCCTACTGAGCAGGTTTTCATTCAGTGCTATTACAGTTGGTGTGAACTGGCTTTCAGTAACAAAATCCCCTGCTATGATATTGAGGGAACCAGCGTTGGAACCAGGCTTCTGCTCCCTAACCCAACTGAGCAAGGTGGGGTAGGTGGTCATCACCATGTCCTTCAGTGATTCTGTGGGATGTGAACAGATGTACTTCAGGTCTTCAGTGAGATTGATCCCAGTCACAAAGAACCCCCCTGTGGAACAATGCATATGTAGAGTTTTTGTGTGCTCTTCAAAATGTTTTGGAAATATTTTGATAGCAGTCCTATGAGTTACCTGGGCGACCGTTATTTTTTCTGCGTTCAAACTCCTCGATTAGGGCTTCTGCTTTGCATTTGTTAGCCCACCAGTAAGGGATATGAGACCACAGCTCTCTGTGGCAATTTGCTACATGGTTGTCATATGAGACAATGAGCTGGTAACCCAAACTCCACAAATTCCTCAGTGTAACACCTTCCTAATGGGAAACAGGAAGAAAACTGATATTATGAAAATATCTGTAAAGTTCTCACTGAAAGTATCAAGAAGTATCACTTATTAAAAACAAACAAAGTGTGCAAAACATTAGGAGCAGCTTCCTTATAGAACCTAATAGACTGCCATACCTAGCACAATCAGTTGGGAGTGGCAATACACCTATTTTCTAATAAGCCTTAAAGGGATCTGTTGTAAACATGCCTGCTTGCATCCTACAGCAATTACACAGTAATATTCAGAGTGAAATTTTCCGGTTTAAAGACTAGAAAAAAACTTTCTTCTCATGATGTACCTTCAAAGAGGTAGGAGCCTTTGACGAACTACTTCTTTTTGCTAGCTAAATGCATAAAGAAGCCAGAAAGGTAATGTTATACAGAAAAAACAATACCAAATGCAGCCATATCACAGTAGTCACTGTCTTCAAATCATCAATACAATGGACAGAAGCATAAGTCAAATAACAGAAATGACTTGTTAGATGAGGAGAACAACAAACTTATTTTTTTCTGTTTGAAAGAATAATAAACGTCTCTGGCCTCCATTTGTGGTGCATAAAGGCAGAACTGTTGTTTTCTTTATAATTTTGTTACACGGTCACGGTAAGAATTTTATTAATGCTAGCTTAGTTGTATTCATTAGCCTATAGATGATATGCTAGGCAGTCAGGACAGGTTGAAACCACAGGGATTCCCAACGGCTAAATGAATGATGTGTATTGTAGTGAGAGAAGATTGATGAATGACAACACTATAAAAACATGAATTCTGTTAGTGGGACATAATGCTGCGCTACAGGTACTGCATAGCACAGATAACATATTAAGCTGTCTTTTTAGCCTGAAATGCCCCTTTAACTGGATATATAACGTATATACACAGTTGAGCCAAAACATTATGATCACTCACAGATAAAGTGATTATCTCATAACAACGACACTTGTAAAGGTCCAAGCGAACAGTCAATTCTTGTAGTCGACATGGTGGATGCAGGAGAAATGGGCAGTCATGAAGACTTTAGTGACTTTGACAAGGGCCAAACTGTTATGGCCAGACGACAGGGTTGAAAGGGGAGCATTAGATTTATGCATAATGGATGAATAAAGTACAACTGAAATGGAGACAATATTAATATTGTTTTAATTTACTAATAAGTAACTGACACTGGTACAGATTTCAGAATTGTATCAGATTCACCACAGTTTGTGCCTTAACTTAGGCTTAGTACATACTAAGGCTTATTATTTAGTAACTACATGAGCTACAATGTAAACTGAGCTGTTCTTAGGTTATAGAAGTAGATACTAAATTACTGGTCCAGCAGGTGGGTCCTGGCCATTTAAGGGGTTAAATTTATACATATATTGTGTATGTCTATACATTTATGAATGGATTTATGAACAAAAGTAAAATAAAGTAAAGTAAAAGGAATAAGGAGCATAGCTAATGCCTGCTCTGGGGTCAAAAACACAGAATTCATAAAAGTGGCCACTCTTATTAACTTCAGAGAGCAGAATGTATGATGCAATCAGTCAACTAACAAGCAAAATCCTAAAATAGGTGCATTCTAACTCACAAACCGGTTGAACAAAGTATAGCAGGCTACAGCTTTATGATAGACAGGAGGAATCTCTAAGGCTTTGTATACAGAGTGTAGTTATTTCTGGAAGCTGAATATGAGGCACATACCGTTTTAGGGCACAGCTTTGAGTCAAAAACATTCTTTATGGTGGAGATAAGCAGCGTATGCAGCTCTTGACTGAGGCCCAGGAAATGGCTGAAAGACAGGATGACTATCTCTTTAGGATGAGCATCCAGCCATGCCTTGATTTCCTTCAGTACTGTCTGTCACGGCATAAGAATGCAGTCAGGCCACTAAAGAATTATGCGAGTTCATTAAAGCTGAGAAGCACAATTATACACAATACCCAGATATTTATAGAAGCAGTGGCAGAACTTTAGTCATATAATCATTATCACTTTACAGGGACAGATAATGTACAGTGCTTTGAAGTGCAAACTACAGCTGCTCTTCAGAAGACTGTTTGTTAGCTTACCTCAACAGTAACAGTGGTATAAACCCCATGGTAAAAGTAGAGGTCCGAGGAGCTGTCATTGGGCCGATGTGCTATCCTTAGGTCACAGTACCTCACCCCGCAATCCAACTGCTCACGCACACAGCGCTCCTACAGTAAATAATGTACAACAGCCATTAACAATGCAAGCACTGTGAAAGTGCTACAAGACCAACAGCTGTCTAAACTTTCTTGTTCCTATTCCATCACACTTCCAAAGTCAACAACAACCAGCATCAGAATTTTTTACAGATGCATTTGACCACCATAGTTATGTTTCATTATCTTTAAGCTAAACAATATGTCCAGAAATAAGCTATTTTAAGGTGCAACTTGCTGACATTAACTGCGCATGAGCCTAAGGACACTGTGCCCGATGCCAAGCATCAGCTAGAGGGCTATAAATGTCCCCAGCATTGGGCTGTGAAGCAGTAGAGCACCATCAAATCCCTTTAGGATGCATTGGAGGAGCATTTGTGATCCACAGCATCCAACATCAATAAATAACCTCACTAATGTTCTAATGTAAAGCCTTCCGTAAGAGCAGAGGCTGTTAATCCAGCAAAGGGAGAACAAACTCCCTATTAATATCCTTGATTTCAGATGAAACCTTGGACAAGCAGTTGTTCAGCAGGTTTTGGACATATAGTGTAAACTGAAATGAGGAAAGACTCAAAAAGCTTTCCAATGCTTGAGTGGTTACTGCAGAAGAGCACAAGGCAGTTTGTTCCCTCTTGGGCTGACTGACTCCAGCGAGAGGTAAAGGCTCTTTAGAGATATGCTGATGCAAAGCGAATTCTCCTGCTTAGTGTTTTAAGCTTTAAGTGCAATATATATCACAGGCAACATAAAATCTCTCAAGTGCACATCAAATCCAGTACAGCTTGCACACCAATTTACATATTTGGCAAAAGAAAACAGTCTCTTGAAAAGATCACTGACGGTCACTATACCTGTGTTACTGCCCACTTGTAAACAAACGGTCGTATGATGGGCTTCATGTACTTGTCTAGCTTCTGCAGCATGTCCGGCTGCGTGAGGTCAACTGGGGAGCGGTCATTTTTATCCAAACAGTAAGTGATAGCATTGTGACTTCCTGCAAAAACCAAAAGGCTTTGTAACAAATGGCCATCACCAAACACAACAGAGCACATTCACGCTCAGAATGAAACAATGAAAGGGCTCAAACTGCATTACAATAACCTGACTTGGCGTTGATTCCAGGGTTGCCATTTAGTATCAACCTTGAGTGTGAAACAGTGCTGACAGTGCACGTAAGCATGCAACCTGACACCGCCTGTGCTGTGCCGCCACACTTTCAGTAAGACATTTTCCAAGACTCCAGCACATAGTTACAGCAAAGCTTATGCTAAAATATGCAGTAGGGTGTGGGTATTATATACGGTAGGGTGGGGATCAGCTGTCACTGTGAGAATAAGACATGTTAATGTGTGTACTTCCGCAGTGATGGGAGGAAGGGATACCTGGAATGGTCAAATTAAACAGAGGGATATCCCACAGAGCATTTGGGAGATGGCTCATCCAGCTGTCCATTGGCAGGTCTATCAGGGGAGTTTGGGTGACCTCTGACAAAGTGGTGGAGGACATCTTGAGCCTGTCAACATTGATGCAGTGGAGGATGACCAGTCACATTTGTATCAATGACATTCAAACGATATCGAATAGACTATGAAATGAAGTTTCAAGCCAGCAGGGACAGGCCGACTGTCGGAAGGGCTATTCAAATGAAGGTACTCAAAGCTATTCAAACGGAAGAACCACGGAGGGCTAAATACTTCCCTTTCATAAAGCTCATTACAAAGCTGCAGCAAATGTTCCGAGTGTGCTGAAGACTTTGTTGGCATACAATTCATTATAGTCGAACAGTAAAGCTGTAGGCTTAAATGGCACTTACGAAGTGGATGCCGGGTCAGTCCAGGTTCATTTTAAGCAAACTAATTTGAGGTCAAATGATGAGGAGGATCCACAGGAATAGCTTTCCCGAAGACGTCGTTCATTCCCAGTGTCCCACAGCAGTCAGGTAAAAGTGCGGTGGCCGAGGTAGCAATTGTCAGTGTCAGGTTGAGCTTGAGCAGGATATCCAGGACATACTCTCCGGAAGGCTGTAGTAAAAAGGAAGAAACCCTGTATTTACCGCAAAGACGAACCTCATTGTTTCAGTTCCAGTTTAGCCATCATACCGAGTCTTCACCGGCGCTGAAGCCCTGACACATCACTACCTCAGCGATGTAGCCGAAACCGACAGACTGAGGAAAACGTGCTGGCTCTTCTATGGCAGCCGGGCGAAGGCGGGGTTTATTTTGGGTTAAAAGGAGGGAATGGCTAGTTCCGGACTCAGTGTGACAGGAATACCTCTCTACCACAACAGCACGCTGTATTATCTTGGTTCGTGCATCTTTATTTAAGCGCACATTCCTTTAATATGTCTTACACTGTAGTCCCCGTGTTTTGGCAGCAGTACTAGCGGTCGTTGCTTAGCAAACTGATTACCTCAGTACTGCAAGAAAAGCAATGTTATTTTTTCCCACCTGTATTCGGGCAGGTCTCCCCTCCTACGCTGCGATTGGCTAATAGGGTCCGGTTGCTGCGCTGTGACTGGCTAACAGTCTTGTCTATCCTCGTCGGACTACTACCGAATCCCAGCGCAGTAGGCGGGACTTGACGGAATACGAGTAGGAAAAAAACGGACTGGACTTTTCATAACCCACCACAGGCCTGAGGGGGTTTTAGTAAATGCTGGGTGCCGTCAATACTGGGGAATTTCTAATGAAAATGTACCTCCTTCCACGTAAAATCGATTGGTTTGAGTTTAAACAAGCAGGGATTTCACTAATTGGGCCTCTGTTTTGAGGTTCAGAGGAAACATGAATATGTTTGGTCTCTCATTGGATAAAGGTGGGTCTGGTGGGCCAAATCAAATGTTAACTAAAGTCAACCCATTGGCCACACTTTGTGCAGCCCTGCTCTAATGGATCTACCATTGTGTGAAAGAAGCACACAAATCCAATAACAACAGAAACAGTCTATTCTCATAGAAAATGGCAACACATTTTTTTGAACAATGGCTTCAACTGCCCCCTTTAGTACTTCATGTAAGACTAGCATACTCTCACTGAGGACATCTGCATAAAGAATAGAAGAAAACAACAGCCTCCTGTACTTCATATTAAATAGGGCCTTTACACAGTGTATATAATACGTAGTATGGTTTATATGACTACACATAAAGAGCAGATGGCCTAAATGCAGCCTCATGTAGTTCACAAACGTGCCTCTCATTAGGGTGTTCATGCTGTACAAGAATTTTCTGGGAGTCTCCAGTGTAACACTGTAGTCTTCTGTTATCAGGAATGGATGCATGTTGCCTCAGTAATGGCCCCTGACGGAAAAATGGCTTTCTGTAATGAACATTCTAATTGTTTGACAGCAGAATGTGTGCTTACTGTTTATTCACACTCACAGCTCAGCTTCTCTGCTCAAGTGGAAACTCCCCAGTCAGCAGAAGCATTATTGAAAAATGCACCTAGAATCTCTTTGCCCGCAGTGCGTTGAAGTTGTACTTAGCTGGTTGGAAAGTGTAATTACCGTTCGGTTTAATTTGCTGCATCAGACAGAGAAGTCCTGCGTTGGATTGAAGCACAAGAAATGCCTTTAAGCTCAGATGATTTCTGCTTTCAGAAGGTGTTTGTTTCTAAATATAATCACATGCATTGATGTTTTGTAGTCGAGCTATTTTAAGCTTATCATTGCCTTCTTTTCCATTTACTGTTGGACGTCTGACTACCTGACAAGATGACAAATTCTTTTTGTCTTCTTTTATTTTCCCTGGCTGAACTCAGCAAACACTGGACTCAAGTCAGCTTTTTCTTACAAATAATCAATGAGCCTCAGGAAGCACTGGTCTTGCTGTTTTATAATGGAGCTAGCGAAATCTTTCAACCAATAAAAGTCTGAATGTGAACTGATCTAGGATGAGTTGATACATTTGACCATAATATGTAATCAGTTGTTTTGTACTGACAAACTCACTTGATTTGTCAGATTTACAACCCATCAGTTGTGATGGACACCCCTATGATGGCCATGTTAAATAGTGTCTAAACAAGGTTTCCCAGATCTAGATTAATCCCAAACCTAGACTGAAAAAGATTTTCAGAGGTGAAGCACTACCCACATTTTATTCCAAGACTAGGCTTAACGCATGTCCATTAAAACTGGACCTAAATGCTTACAGCAGAGCTGAGTGTGACTGTCCTGATTATTTTTTCACGGGCTTTGCTTTAAGATCATGCAATTAAATCAAAGCAAGACAAGCAAACTCTACAAAGTATATAACGGACTAAATCAGAGTCATTTTAAAACTTCACTGGGTAACAGAAGTAAACTTCTGCCTAAGGAAATGTTCTGGAGTCAAGTGGTGCTGTTGTCTGGAGCAGAGAATGTATCCGTTTGGATCAGCTTCAGTAAGCTGAGAAGCAACTGGAATGGGTTTTAGAGAAAATGAGCGTATACAGTGACAATATGCTAAGTAGAGCATTTCAGTGAAGTGACAGATGGCCTAGTAATGGAGATGTACTGAATGATTTTAAGTCATCACACATTCGGATCTTTAAAAGAACAACAGTGTCATTGGTGCAAAACGCCACTCTTATGAAGCACCATAAACTACTGGAGTCCTGTGGAGAATCTAAAGCATAACCCTGTGGTTGAGAGCTAAACGAAGTAATTCAAGTGTTTTCATGTGAAATGGTGCATCTCTACAGTGGTGGTGATGGTAACCAGGGGTCATGATGTCTTCTGGCAAACAAGCCATTTTATTTTCTATTCAAAATGTACAGTGAACCTACATCTTATGAGGTTTTATATGCAACAGTGATGATAGTAATAGTTGTAATTCTGAGGAAAAAAAAAGGTTCCCTTTGGGTACTATGTTATCTTACAACGCCCTGCGTACACCACCACTGTGGAAAAAATTTGGACTTTGACAAGTGTCTTTAAAATGCATGAAATTTATTCATCCAGAAATTTGGTGGAATTTTCCATGTGAGGCTTCTCATCTAAAACTATTCCAGTCTATAGATCCGTAACACCACTGTAGCACCGTATATCAAACTAGAAATCCAAAAAAGAATTTAGACTGCAATAAAGCTACAATTATAGTTTTATAAAAACTCTTGACAAATTAGTTTGTATTTTCAAAAGTTTATTGAAAAGGGCTCCATCTTTAAAAAAAAAACTTTTCATAACGTAGTGTCAAGTAAAAACAAGTAAAAAACAATGAAAAAGGAAAGGATTTCTATTCAAATGGGACGCATAGTTCATGCACATCGTTACAGTGTTTTCCACTGGCTGCTAGCAACACACAGTACGTGACTTGAGGTCTGCCTGGAAGTTCATTGAACATATAAAAGGCCAGTTGGCTGCACAAACCTTGCTGTACTCCCTCTAATCAACACAGAGGTACATATTACACACACATAAACGTGTGAAATCTGCTCTCTCAAACCTGAGAAGATGAACATACATTATGTGAAGACACGGATAAACCAAATATTAAACCTTTCATCTGTATGTGTAAATCTCAAATGAACCTGAAATCATGAATATCAACATAGACAAACATGAAAAAAGACATTTAGAGCACTAAAGGATTCATCTGCACACTTATCTGTGCAAAAATTGGCACCGAAAAAACAACAGCTTGCTGCTGAGGGTTATTGCAGATGCATACTAGGGGTGTAAGAGTGCATGTTTCACACACATACAAAAATCAATTTTTGTATTGATTTAGGCAGAAATATTTCCTCCCTTAAACATATTCATTCAGCAGAACATAAAACTGCATCTTTGCATTTTGAACAGTGCAGTACACATTTCTGTTCTATGATGGAAGGAAATTGTGGTGCTTTTGTGCTGATGTTTACACCAAGTAAATACCCAAGTCGATTTTTTAGAGCAGACTATGATTTGGATCAAGATTATAACCCATAAAATAAAACAATGAGTTGACCACATAACATCAATAGTAGAATTATATTCAGCATCTCAGTGTCTGGCTCTTTTAAACTGACATGAAACATTTATTTGGTCTAAAGTAGTCATTTACTGCAAATGAGAAGGCAATGATGGCAGTACAGGTGCTTGAACCAGACAGACTGAAACAACACTACCCTCTAGTGGCCACATGCTATTATCTGCTTAACCAGTTTCAACTTTGTGGAATCTCAAATATTCAGTTACAATTTCTTTGTGGCCAAAACACTGACAGCAGGTTGCACCTTAGTTCACTTCCACAACACTGCCAATTTCTATAAAGTGGCAAAGTAATAAAAATTCTCAACTCTGCCTAAGCTTTAAACCATATCAAATGTAAAACTGGTTCTCATGAATGAAAACAATTACTTATCAACTCTGGAAACAATGATGGAAGACCAGTTCAGACAGCTTTTTCTTTTTAAAACAAGAGAACAAAGCAACATGATGAGACAAACATGCTAATGACACCAGAAAGAAAATGGGAAAGAGAGGAAAAATATAGAAAAGTCAAGATCTACGTGCCAGCTTTCACCCACATCGTCAGACTCAAATGCTGCAGTTCTTATGCTTTTATTGATTTGCATAATCATAGGAATCAAGGATGTCACTTAACAGCATGTGGAAATTACTTCAACAACAAATTCCACAACACTTGAGACGAGCTACTATATACAACCTAAAAATGGAGGCTCTTTTGCATGACCAGTATTTACAGAAACACTGCTAGAAGGCCTGTCTAACCTACATTAGACGTTGTGTGGTCTCGCATGGGGAGTCAGTTTGCAGCTGAAACCCTGTTATTCAGAGCAGATGCAGAGACAGCGCCATGCTGAAACAGATGGAAAGACTGCGTTCTCCAACACTCAGCCAGGGAGAATATTTTGGCGCCCCTTTTTGGTTGAGATCAGAGTCTACTCCGCCGATGCAGGATGACTGAGCCTTTGCTCTGTGATGGCCAGTGCAATCACAGGCATCATCCTCAACAAGGAATCCTTGGAGTGTAGCACTTTTGAGGACCGCCAGAGCGTTATGGTGACAGACCTGTAGCAGTGGGTTTGAGGGACTGAGACTGTGCTATTTCAGGCTTGTCACCTTTGCACTGTGCTCCTGGAGCCTAAAGACACTTTCCCTCGACTGCCCCCACGACCATAGATTGTAGCTGAACTTCTCTCGCTTGGCCCCCTGCCAGCCCGCACTCGCTTGCCCTTGGCCTCAGGCTCCGAGTCACTAAGCTCCAGGTCAGGGCAGTACCCATCACTGTCCTGGTATGCTCTGGTGCTCCCTTGTGGCCGCTCAATGGCTGGTTTAGCACAGTTTGTCCGCTCTTTGCTGCTGATGACTTTGCGAGCGTTCTTTTCAGCACTCCAGAAGTCCTCTGTAGTCCGTACCAGGCTGACAGTTGCCTCTTTGAAGGATCTGCTGAAATGTTCTATTGCGGATTTATGAAAACTGCCTGGACGACCCTTTCCAGAATCCTCATTGCGTGTGGCCTGCTCAGAGGAAGTCTGGAAAGAAGTGTCTCTCTGAACTACAGGCTTCTCCATGATGCCATTGGACTTCAGACAGGGCCTGTCCTGTTCAGGTTTGTCCTTTCCGTTGGATGAATGGCCATGCAGAGCAGCGTGCAGAGCCAGAGGCTTACCCGTTGGTTTGAGGGGCAGTGGCAACGCACTGGGGGTTCCACTGTCTCGCCGTGCTACAGTGAGAAGGCCATTGGTTCGCTCCTCCCTCCGAGCCCGGCTGTGGTGGAGCTGAGGTTTGCCCTGCCCAACGCCTGTCCCACTGAGGTCATACACGTTACTGCTATTATCTGGGCACAGTGGCCCATTTCCAGACTTGGTGCTGGTTTTGTTGTTTCCCAGTGACACCTTGGGCATTTTGAGTTTGAGGGTTATCCTGGGAGGAGGCCGGAAGAGCAGGTTTTCCACAGCTGAGGACACCGGCAGCCCTGCACATCGAGATGCATTTAAAACAGTGGATTCACACCATCAAACGAAGGCAATAATTTGTATATTTTTACATCCAATTTCCAGTACAGATCCTATCTTTATGTGTATCTTACATTTAAGTTAACAGTGTGATACATACAATTGCTACATATGGTCCTGGACATTCATTACCTGCAGACAGTTCTTGGTTGATGAGTTTGACGTGAAGGTTAAAGATCTGCTCCTGGGCTTTACTCTGAGACAGTTTCAGCTTCTCTCTCCGACTTACCATGTAGCACAGGTTCCTCACCTAAATATTATTACACAAGAGAAACAACATTCAGTCACACTATAAGAAATCAGCTAAATTTCATCCGGGCATCATCATCACCTTGCAAAGGAGTACCCACCCTCTCCAGGTCTTGTCGCAGATGCATGAACATGCGCATGCGTGTGTGGATGCTGTCCTCCTGCGGCTGCAACAGAAGGTTTTCCTCATCTTCTTTGGGTGGTAAAAGAGCTTTATTAAAGTTTGTCTTCCTCTTTAGCTTCCAGTACTGGTAGATAAAGTCTAGCAGGTGGAGGGGCAGCCCCAGATCCTGGGCCACCTCCTCAGGCTGCACCAACTTGTAAAACTCCTCCTCCAGCTCCTGGAGTTTCTGCGCCCTGAGACCCACCTTCTCGGTCTCAGTGGGAGGTTTGTGTCGGGCCGGGCTCAAGCCAGGCTCTCCAGCTTTGGACTTGCTGTGCTTCAGGCAGTAGGATTTGAACTTGACTTCATCTCCCTCGTCCAGAATGGTCTTCATCTCAAGGTTGTGCTCAAAGGCGCAAGTGACATGAAATGGAATGGTGCAGTTCTTTACTGAACACTGAAAGGCGAGACAAGAAAATTAGAGACTACAAAACTCCTGCATTCACACATATGCACATATATGGCCATACTGCATACTGAAGCAACAACACATGACCCAATAGCCTTTTAAAAGTCAGTTCTTACTCGGGCATATCCTAACATCTTACCTGTATGCAGGCTCCTGTCTTGAGCTTGCAGAGGCTACAGATTAGTGACCAGCGGCTGGGTGGAATGTGAGACACTTTGGTGATTGGCTCCATCCTCTCCGGACAAGCAATGCTGACCTACACACAAAAATAGCTATTTCAACCAACATATATAAAGCTTAATAAGATTCAGAACCCAGATGCTTAGTAAATCAGCTCATCTGGATGGTTTCTGATTGAACAAATTTGAGTTAAAATCTATGTTATCTACATATTTTTGTAGCAGTGTATTTTTACCCTATTAGACTTCTTAAGTAGAGAGGAGTTTACCTCAGGTATCCAGAGGGCACAGCTAACATGTGCCCACTTTGTTCCCGCTCGTGTAGCTTTCATGGCACCTCCCTTTTTGGGGCACAAAATGCACTGTGGGTCGATGCCAAGCACACAGGTTCTGCACAGCCAGTTTCCATCTGGAACCTTCACTATGCCATAACATGCCTAAAAACAAAAGTTTTAATAATAGTAAACAGATACTCAAACTTAACACAGCAATTGTTACAACCTGCTGCTTAATGACTGATTGAAAACGCTAACATTAGCATCCCTAGGGCAATACAAATGTTACGTAATAAAAGAGTTCTGTAAAACTTCGTTACAGACATTTTTGATGAGAAACATTTGACTAATTTCCTTTGCTGACTCATTTTTAAATGGAAACTCAAAAATTCAATGTTGAAATAAGTTTTTTGATCCACAGTTTCTAATGTACAGTGGTCTTAAGTTGAAACTATAACTGATTTTAGTAAGCACAAGAAACAATATTGCAATGCTTTTCTTCTATTGCGGGCAACAATTTTATTTACTTATTTTATACTTCTATTTTAATGAGCCATAAAGTGGTAAATACTACATAAAAGAAGCCCAGTAAATGGGCCACTCTCAACACAAGCACAAGTGCCTGAATCTCCCAGTCGACAGACCTTTTCACCTCAAAAGCATTCCACAGTCCTAACCCCTGCTATTGTTCACCAACATGGCCTTGATCACTAAGGCTTAGTGAGCTTGTAATGCAGAGACATCAATGAAATGGTGGTACACAAGGCCTACTGTTTAAAAGAGATACAAAATACCAAATATTATGTATGGAATTAATATATTTAATTGATTTTGTAAGCACATTTGTGTAAGCTAAATTAAATAACTATGTTTTATTGGAGAATCTGCTACAGACAGCAACCTGAAAGTCACCAATCACTCTCATCGATCCTTGAACTCTCACCCTGTTCTCACCTGGTGCACGCAAATGTTGCACTTGTCACAGAAGACCATGTCGTTTCCCTCCTCACTGTCAGGCGAGCGACACACGTCACAGATGACGTCCTCATCGTACTCAATGCCAAGCCCTTCCTCAGTCTCTATTGCGTGGTTCATGTTGTCATGGCACTTTCTTTCAAGAGCCTCCATCGCTCTCTCCATGGTTAACTCATTCATGGGCCCTTCCCCTGAAAGAGAGACAAACAAATAAAAATACTGTAAATAACTCTTCAAAAGCTTCACCGTAAAGTTGCAAAGAAGGAAATTATAGTAGAATGAAAATAATTCTTAAGCCCAAAAGGTTTTGAAGAGAATGTGTTGAGATCACTAATTTACTGGAAAACAGATTAGTTGATTGCAGATTGTGTGCACTCTGAGCTTTCTTACCCATTTGACCAAGCTCCATGTTGAGCTCTTGCAGCCAGTACAGGTCCATATCATCCAGGTCATATCTGCACATGGCCTCAGCCAACTCTTTAATGTTTACATATCCTGTCTCGGTGGAGTCCTGACTCCAGCACTGGATGTACTTCCTCTGTCTGGAGAACAGAATCTCCCTCGGTTTCTCTGCTATTATCCTGTACAAGGTCATACAATGAGTTTATTTCAACATGTGATTATATTAATACCTGTGTACTGCTACACTGCAAGTATGACAGTCATAATTACAATGTAGAGGATGAGAAAGAAAAAGCAAAAAAGGCAGTTAGGCTTCAAGCTTTGCATACCAAGGTAAGTATGCTGTAGGGTCTGAGACTGAAAGGAAAAAAAATGGAAAGAGAAAGTCCATTTGAAAGGCAATTTTTATATACAACACATGGAAAGCACCTAGTAATTACCGGTAATATTTGGGCTTTTCGTCAGCCTACATGCAACCGTATTTTACCCGAATTTTAGGGGAATGTATTTCCTACTAAATACATTCCCCTAATGCTTTCCCTCATGAAACATAACATTAGAAAAACCTGTTCAACTAAGCAGGCAGATTTTTGGTCAGCTGGAATCTAGATGCTGTACTTCCCAGTCATTTTTCATTCAACACCCTCCCAGTAATTAGCCGGGGAATTGTACTAGGTCTCTTGAGGGCTGATTGCTGTGTGAACTTTACTGGGATTTTCACTCCAGGCTGCGTTCACACATAACCCCTTCTTGGGTAATACCCAGGTAAAAGTGCATGTGTGAAAGGAGAGAAAGAAAGCGAGAGACACACTGAAAGACTAACCTTAGGGAGGGCTGGGGGATGGTATCTGGACTGGCTGGTACCTGCACACCTTTCTCCCACTCTTGCCTCCATGTGTCAGCCAGCAAGTAATAGTCTTCTGGAGAGATGTGGTGAGAATCTGGCAGCTTCATAGCACTTATCAGGTCTTTTCTGAACACCTGTGAAAAGCCATTTATTGCAATTCATTGGGATGTAATTTGCTAGCATTTGTGCTTCTTTCTTCCATTGTATCACGTGTTTAATTTAATGTAGAAAGGATGACATATGGTGTGCACATAATGCTTTAAGCCTTTTGCTGTCATATAGGCCTACTTCTTGACGATGCTGTTATTTATTTGTAATGGCCAACTGACTGCTTTTGAGCCAAAACTGTATTACTACATTGATACAACGCTGTTGATCATTCCAGATGTGTGGACCTCTAGATAACCACACAACCTAAGTCTTCAAATTAAAAAATACATAAGCCTTACCTCCGCCGGCTTTTTCTGTGCAGAGGCGGGAGTTCCCGGTTTGCTTCCATACTTGTTTGAAGAGAACGACGTGGAGGGAGCTTCATGTTTATCAAAAGAGGTGCAACGTAGAATAAAATAAGCAACAACAAATAATAACGTCATTAAAAAAATTATTTATGAAGGTACTGAGGACCTCAAATGGATATCAACTAAATATTCAGATTCAAAGAGACTCTGTATGTGGACATGTGTGTCTAGCTTTACTTACTTTCATTGTCTGAACTGTCACTACTGCTTGAAGTCCTGAGTCGTTTCATCCTGACATATCCTAAGAAAGAAATATAAAAACAGAGAAAGAGATTTTTTAGTTTTTTCTATTTGTTCTACTTATTTAGTTTATCTATGTACATCAATACTATTTGTTTATGATTTACTTAAAACCTTATCAAAGGTATACTAGGGTATGACATATATCGGCTGGCTGATAATATTTGTCGATCTTGACAACCCACAGTTTTATCTGCATGGGGAAAAATTATCAAAAACAATCTGCACTTTTTTCTGGTTCGCCAGGATTCAGATCCACAATCTCTCAGTGATGGGACAAAACTGTACATGCTTACTGTAGATCCCCATTTTAGAATATGATAGCAATACAGAAAATTCTGTTTGGACGCAACAAAACAAAAACATGTAAAACGTGTTTTCTAAAGTCCTGATGACCGTTTGTACTGTTTTACTAGGCCCTCACTTCATACAATCCAGGTCTATGCCTCTCATGTGTTCTTGATATAAACACATTAATCTACCCTACTTTACATTAAAACAGAGATGCCCAAAAACAAACCATTCACTCATAAAGATGCGGAGATCAACTCTGCATCGATGACTGAATGGTTTGTCACTTTGAATTTAATCAGTTAGCTGATGCCTGGCCAAAAATATGTGCTGCGATCCATGTACCAAAATCAAATGCATTGCTTTGCTGTTACTTTATTGTTCGTCTGCTGTTATTAGCAGCAGCCCACACAGCAGAAACGATATGAGAGTCAAATCTTAAAACAGGCAGATTATGAGGACAGTACAGCTCTGAACTGCTTCTAGAAGAGAAAAACATGCTCTGATAATATATTCCCTCTTTTGGTGTGGATCACAATCAAAAAAGCATTCCCATCAGCAGTGAGCTGAACCAGGGTTCACTTTGAAGCAGACCTGCGATTTTTAGTGAATCACAGTTCATTTATTGGGTGTGCACTTGAGTATGAATGAAGGGTTCACACCTGTCAAAATGGACCAAACTAAAGAAGTTTGTATGGGCTACACCAAACAAGGTTGGTGTGAAAGCACTCAAGACTGTGGATTTCTTTAGTTTTAGTTAAAAGAAGTGAAATATAAAATTAAAATATTAGATATAAATTGTACCAGCTGACATTAATGGTCATCATAATTTTTCAGCACCACTAAAATTGGTACTAGCTCCAAACCTTTCATATGGGCCAGGCCTTGATATACACCATGCAGAGTTAGAGAGCATAATTTTACCCAGAGCATGGAGCAGCACTGCAGAAAGTCGGAGTCTGTGTTCTATCACACTGAAATCACTTCGATATCACTCCATCCTTAGTTTTTCATTTAATAACGGCCATAAGTTATAAAATTCACAAAATGAAGTGCTCAGAGTCTTGTCCTTACGTTGAGGATAAAATAATGAACATCACAAGAATGAATCATACGGAGAGACACAGGGTAGTTTTTCTCCGATGTGGGAGTGAGGAGCAGGAAGTAGAAAATTCGGAGTAGAGTTGGGACGCAGTGATAACACGGCGCTTTGAGTAAGGAGAGGAAATGTCTGTTGCTCCAAATCCTCTGATACCAGGGATAGTGCTACCAGGGATGTGCATTCCGACTAATTTTGATATCTGAGTAACCGTTCATGAACTGTTCAGGAATAGATATTCTGTTAACCGCAGAAAAGAATGAATGAATGAATGAATGAATGAAAATAAGTATTACTATTTTGGTTTAAATTATTGTAGAGCTGTAGGGTTACTTTTTTAGGTTAACATCAAGCAGAGCACTACATTTCAAAACATGTTTTATTATTCAAAAATAGCCACTGGAAATTGGCAGGTTTTCATGTGAGATTAGTAACAAGTACAATATTGGATGCTGATGGAGACTTGTTGTCTTTTTATAGGTGGTTTTTTTTTTCATGTCTCAGAGAAAACATAAAAATTAATACCCAAACAGTGATATCAGTATTCAAATACAGGCACCTCAAACAGTTAACCAAGTACCTGTGCACAACCCTAAGCACTGCACAGAATTGTCAGCTCAACACCAACTGAACTTTTCTTTGCATCAGCTATTCACTTACCATAAATATTAAGTCGTACAGCATGCTAGGTTATTCTTCTGGCCTGCTTCTGTCATCCACCTCTCATCACTGCAAAACAAAATAGGCATTAGGACGAGGCGAGCATGGTTTGCGTGAGGTGAAACTGGTGGGTAGTGGGAGCAGGGGAGCGTGCAAGGCAACAGGATTATATGGTACCCAGACACAGAGCACGCACAGATTTATCATGCTCCAGCGGCCGACTGAGAGGCCTCCTTAAATAAATATTAACTCAGCCCAGCCTGTGCACGCTTACAAACACACTCACTGCAAAGGTGGCTTATAAGACAGGTTAAAGTATTAACACTACTAATGAGGCTCATTCACCTAGACTTAAAGACACTGCCTTCATTTCTCCAAAAACAAAACAACTGAAAAAAACAAGCATGTTTCCAGTGCACATCCAGAGATAGAGAATGTCCCGAGAGGGTGGTGAACCCTGGAGACAGACACACCCATCCACACAGTGATACAGTACAGTACAGTACAGTAAACACAGTACAGTAAACACAGTTCAGCATATAGAACAATGTAAACATTTCCATCTCTATATTCTAGGCAAGCACCAATATTTTACATTTTATATATTATTTGTCTACTTTTGTGCTTTAAAGATTGAATTAAAAAGATTAGTTTCATAGCAGAGTTGCTAAAACATTTCTTCAACGTAATTGGCTCAAGTTTATCTGGTGGTAAACATAGCTTCTCTACTGCGGTACGTTCAGTGTAGTGCCTGGGGCAGGGATTTTCTTTGTTTATTGTAGTTTACTGTAGTTATTTAGTGTACGTCCTGGCTCGACCTGAACCTGGCAGTACTCTCCCATTTACTCTCAGCTTCTTAGCACTGACACTATAAATACCAGAGACAGGAAGCAGCAGGAGCGGACCTCAAAATGGAATCTGCCTGCTTCACAGCGAGCAAAACCCAGACTGAAAGTTCCCCATACAGTGACCACTAGGGGACATATTCACTCACTATGCTAAAATGCACAGAAATGCACAAATATCACCTATTATAGTGAGCAATAAAAGACAGGAGAGCAATTGTTTTATCCATTTAAGTTAATATCCAGTACTAAAGTGGCACATAGGTCAGAGATGGTTGGCTGCTGGTGATATCAGACTAAGATCCTTCAGTAAGATCTTCCATAAGAACAAGAACTGCACAAGCTTAAAAGAGCCATCAGATTTCTTATGGCTCCACAGAAGGCTGGATAATGTCAGTGACATCAGCCAAGATCAGCCACAGTCTGACTTTTAACCATTTAAACGGAATAAGATCATACTGCTCTCGTTTTGTTTACATCAATGAGATTAATATAACCACTGTTAAAAACAAGTTGAAATACAAACTGTTACACAGTCTATGTTATTAGCCATCTAATAAGCTTAAATACTTAAACAAACCACTTAGAAACACAGTTTTCCTGATCTCAGAAATGGGTTACAAACACATATCAGGTTCTACTCCAGTCACATCACGCTTAACACAAACACTAAAGCAAAATCTGACCCTCCAACAAGACAAGAATGTCTGTAATTACAGCACTTCATTTGGTATTAAACCTTGTGCCTCCAATTTAAGTTAAACACACGGTAATAAAACCATATAAGGAATAGAACCTTTTCTTTCCATGATTTAATAAATAAGCCTTCAGGCTGTAAAATAAACAAGAAAAATACATTAGAACTACAGGATTGTCTGCTTAAATTAACATATCTTCAAAACATGCAAAAAAAAAAAAATACAAACAATGAATAGTAGGGCCCAGCTTATATTTTTCTGCAACAACTTTGGCCGATATTGACGACCCGCTGTTTTACTGGTATTGGTGAAAATAAAGATGATGCGCCGGTAATTAGTATCTTTTTTGGATGCAGCATCGTTAGGATTCAAACTCGCAATCTCCTGACGAAATCTTAAGCAGTTCCAAAGTTAAACCCAATGTGAGACACTCAATTTGTAAACTGTACCCAACCATGTCACTTTGTGAAATGTACCTAGTCCTAACCTTTAGCATAAGAAAAAGACGTTAGCACCAAAATAAACAAAAACTAAAAATTAATACGATGTTCTGAAAAGAAATCGAAACTGGAAAGGATGGTCTATTTGAGTAGCATGATAACCAAAAGAAAATCATATCTGTCAGTAAAGCGCAGTTTAACTTCAAGTATTGGAGCACAAAATTAAAACATAAAATATAAGATTATCTACTAAGGTCACAATTTATCAGAATTTTAAGCCCCATAAAATCTACATTGGGGCCACAAATCATCAAGCCCTAATAAATAAAAACTTCAATTACTTAAGAGAGCCTTTTGAGAGTAACAAGCATGCTTGTCGCTTCTACTCCAACTCGTGGAGGACCACCTGCTCCTGACGCAAAAGCCTTAGCCAGAAACTGCATCTGACTGTGCCTCTTCCTTCCAAACTGTAGAACCACTGACACTGGAGGGTGGTTCCAAAGGTTTGTTGGCTTGACTATCTCCATAAGGGAGGTTGTCTAGAATCGCTACAAAAAATGAGAGAGTAATTAGAGACTCCTCAGAATCCAACCACTGGAAAAACTGTGCATTCCTCTTAATGTTTGCTTAGGAATGCATGGTGTCATTTGCAAGGGGTGACTTAGGAATACAATTAATGGTGTAAAAACGTTAAGGCCACGACAAATCACTAGTGTATCCTATAGCTAAACCACTTCTAACCGCAAGCCTCTCTACATTGTATGCATTAAAGTTTCTGATGCCCAATTTAATGCCTGGCCCCAGACCTCGGCCTGTACCTCTGAAACAATTTCTCTCAATTTCTCTCTGTGACACCAATATTTTCTACACAATATACACTTAACTGAGGAGAACACAACAAAGGCAGTAGCAGCACTACAGTACTCCTGCTTCACAGCATGCCTGAATAGAGCGGGTCAAAGCCACATGGCCCCAGCAACCCTCCAACCCCCATTCTCTAAGCAAAAGCTACAGAATACAATGCCCTGCCCAAACACACAAACCACCTTGCTCGCCTAACACACTAGGACCTCTGAAAGCTGGGCTGCAAACCAAGCTGCAGTGGAGTAACACGCCATGACAGGCCTGCTCTGGAAAAGACTGCTGGAGTAGCTGCAAAGAACTTAAAAGCAACTGAGCACAAAAAAGAATTTATTTTTTCATGTTACTGCATGTTACAATTCAGAGAGAAGACCTCTCTGGTGGAAACTTTAATTGTGTGCAACATGTAGAACATTTTGTAACGTCGGATGTGTTTTGCACCCCTTCCCCGAGCGGATGAATCTGATGATTGCGAGCGCGTTAAGAGAGTATTCAAACAGAATTCAATCAAGATTTGGTGAACAACGTGTCTTTAGAAGATATGAGTAACTTATCTACTATTGTCATCTTTATCAGTACAATACTGACACTGCATTTGAGACTTAAACATCGAACCAGACCTTCTTTTTGAGCCTGTGCCTGTCATACTGATATGTATTTATTTATGAAGTGGTCTCCCACAGAATCTGACCAGACGCCTCTAACTTTTAAATTATTATTTCAGGCTTTATAGGGTGACTTGCAATGCTGTGCAGACACATATTTTAGCTTGTTTTTATCTCCTGACTCAGTGATTCTGCTTCTTTCAGTTCGGACAAAAAAGTAACCTTACAGCGTGCAGCTTTAAGATAATCCCTGCTCAATGGGAAAAGTGCTTGGCCCCCTTGCGTTTAAGTGGGATTGCGCATGCGCGCGGGAAACGCAGCCCGTTCTCGAGGAAGGCGCACCGAAATTCTGAACTATTTACTTTCACCGCGAACTACTTCACTGCTGCTCGCTGAATAAAGCAGACATTTATGGCACACACGGCAACCTTTTAAACTCCGTCCTCTCTGAGCTAATATTCATTATGCTGCTAAAGTATCGTTAACCTGGAAAGCAGCGCTCTGATTTAGATAACATGGAGCTCAGAAGCTACACAGGATCTGCTGTGAGATCACAGCCATGTAGAAGTACGTTAGTTATACAACGAAGTTTCTTTCCGTGAGAAATTAACTCTACGATAATACGAACTCATAGCACCACGAGGCTTCAGAGGTGGCAAGGTTGCCAGGTCGGTGTTTAATCCTCTCCTAATTCTGAGCCGAGTTGTTTAACGGCTTGTGTATAACGTTACCCGTGCTAACTTATGCTAGCTTGGCGCTTTCCTGTTACAGAAAGAAACCAGCTCTGCAGACCACTGTCAACAAATTATGCATTGAGAATCGGTCAGCTTGGTTAACATGGCAGTGGTCACCAAAGGGCCTCTTCAGCCCAACTCGAGCGCTTAGCAGGAGGCAGTATTTTCCTGCACTGCAGAACTGAGCTCCTTTGCCAGGCTGCTAGCTCAGGATGTGAGGCGGCCTTGGCGCCAAACTCGAGCCGCCCTACAGCCTTCAAAGTAGGCAAGAGCGAACAGCGCCACGTTTAGAGCTGTAAACCCGCCTTCCGCGCGTCTATATAACCCGTTCAATCCGGAAAACAGAAAAATGAGACTGCGAACGTCTCCACAGGAATCCGGACTGGAAGCGACATGTCGGTACCCCGAGTAGAAACCCTCCCTGAAGCGAGCAGAGGGAAGCAGGCCCCGCTGCCTGGATAAGCCCTTCAGCCCTGGCACACACAGCGCTGGGAGACACCAGCAGTATTGTTCGCATAGCAGCCCTCACCTCAGATCCCAAACCGACTCCAGCGATCCCCACGTGGACCAAAACGACGGCCTCGGCCCTGCTCTTCTCAAATGAACGCTCAAGACGAGGTGCAAATGAGCGTATTTTGGTTATTTTTGTCTATTTCTGCTCCACACTGTCAGTATCCCGAAGCTGCAATCTGCTTTCCACCACGGCACAACAGTCCTATTGTACAGTGCAGGTCGCTGGGTCCTAAACTCCGCCCCTTCATGGCCATGCTGGGAGCGCCCATGCTGTTTCCTGTCTTCGCCTCTTCATCGGAAAGTGAAGCAGCTTTATTAATGACATCAATACTACTATTACTGATTAAAGATGGTACGATACTACTTTTTGTTCGATACTGAAACATTGATATTCGGACGATACCGAGCTGATATTTACTCTGTAAGAATTGCTAAGATTTTAAATGAGCTATTTTTAGTTGAAGCACTTCACTGAAGATGAACATCTAAAAGTAGGCTATCATGCTTAAACTACTGAAACACTCTACTGCCTCTCAGGAAGAAATACACAGCTAACATCACGATACACAGTGTGACTTTTCAAGATTTGTAACTAAATTGGATTAGATTCATTATTTTTTTCTGCCGATATCAGCCCGATACATATATCCATCAATACCAACATACCATCTGTACTAAATGTTGTCTTCTTGCAAATTCACAAGTTACTCACACAGTAAAAAAGCCACAACAAATCTTTTAACAAATGAATGTATTGATAAATCACAGTTTACATTCATTCCTACAAAACAGCCTTATGCAAATATGAACCATTCAAAGGTATAAAAGTACATTGTGAGGCTTTTCTCTTATCTGTACAAATAAGACCGATTGTTTTTGGTCACAGGACTAAAAGTGTGCTCTTCAAAACATTCATACAAAAAAACAGACAGAGTATATAGGTAGAGCTCGTTTGAGCAGTACATTCAGTAAGATCTGATTAACAATGAATCAACTTCTGATATTCCTTTCAAAAGCATTTTATAAATAACATTGACAAAAAAGCTGATTTGTCCTCATTCTGGCTGCGCATAAGTGAAAATAGAACTACATATTAAAACAGAGACATTAAAGTACAAAGCATGGTCCAAAAAACATGCTACTATTTCATAAAAAGAAACAGACTCTATAAACTTCACATGTCCACATCTGGGCCTACGTATAAATATAATGACAGGCTACACAGATATACATTTGTGAAAACGTACACAAGCAGAGCAGAACATACTATTTCCAGTTGTATATCCCTAAAAATATAAATGAATAAATATTTTAAAAATTTTACTTACTTTCAGCATGATTGACAATGGCCACAGTAATATGTAATTAGATTCTGAAATCCAGGTCCGTCTGTGTTTTTGTTTTCCAATAAATTTCTCTTATTCTTGTAAATTCAACATGACCGTGTACAAGCACAGCAAAATGGCATAACCAACATGAAAACTTCTAACCCTCAAAAATATTTAGCAGCACTAATTACTTGAGAAAGAAGTAAATAGTAGTTTAAACACCCTTAATCTTAAGAGACACCAGTAACTCTACATCCATTTCATTACATTATTAGATTAGGAAAATTTACTTATTCTAATTCACAATACTGAATGTACAAAAATGTATCAAACAAAATTGATTTTATTGATTCACAATCCCATCTGCATGTCAGCAAAGTTGAAAAAGTTGTCAACATCCCGAGAAGCTGAATTTTTATTCTCAGAAACAAACACCTATGAAAAAAAAAACATCAAAAGGAAGATGGCAAACAGGACAAAGAGCATTAGTTTAATGTAAGGCATTTTGTGTAAATAGCTTTAACAAGTTATACTACTTTATGTAGTTACCTTTGTCCCATTGAAAACCTCACTGGCAATGTTTCTGCAGGCCTCCACTACACCATCTCCATTCAGCTCAAGGGCTACAACAGGACCTGCAGGCACAGAGATTATCTTCTTTCAAAACATAAAGTAGCCAACATATAGGAAGCTCACAGAAACAGGATAATTTGCTTCTTACAGTACTATGTTAATAACAAGTGTACAAGTTGTGACCAGTAATCTAAAACAAAGTGGGTCACTAGGCCAAATACTCCACCCCCAATGATTCATTCAGTGCTGGTAAGGTAAGAGCCTCACATGTTTTGGTTTACTTTTATTTTACTTTTTTATTTTTATTTAATATTGCTATTTTGTTTGTATTTTTTTTTAGTTTTTATGTTTTCTAAGAAAATGACCAGTTCCAGATATCTCTTCAATAAGCACTGCTGTCTTTTAGAGACAACAGTAGGAATTACCAAAAAAAAGTTTTGAGAGTCACAAAAAAAAATCTTTATGTCAGCATTTCTTTTCTAATTCCAAAATACACACACACACACACACACACACACACACACACACACACACACGCTGTATGGACAAAAGTATTGGGACACCTACGGGAGCTTTTATGACATCCCATTCTAAATACATAGGCATAGGCATTAATATGGAGTTGGTCAGCATGAACAGCGTCCACTCTTCTGGGAAGCTGTCTATAAGACTGGAGTGTGACTGTAGGAATTTTTGGCCATTCACCCAGAGGAGCATTTGTGAGGTCAGACACTGATGTTGGATGGCCTGGCTCACAATCTCTGTTCTAGTTCATCCCAAAGGTGTTTGATGGGATTGAAATCAGGTCTCTGTGTGGGCCAATCAAGTTCTTTGTAACCCTGCAGTTATTGAGTCAGCAGAGCGTTAAAGACTTTTATGCACTATGCGCCTCAGCACTCGACAACCCCGCTCTGTAACTTCATGTGGTCTGACACTTTGTGGCTGAGTTGCTGTGGTTAGTCCACGGAATATCTAGGATGGACAAAATTTCTCGAACTGACTTGCTGCAACGGTGGCATCCTATTGCAGTACCACGCTCAAATTTATATATATATATATACATATTTGTAAAAAATACCATCAGCAAAATCTGCTTAGTTGTAGTGGACCCACCTCTTTGTTTTTGGTCTAAAAGGTTAACAGTTCTAAATAGGAGATGATGTCTGACCATGTGCTTAAACCTCAACTTCCTCAGCTTCCTTTGCCTTAGTTGCACAATGTGACTCAAAGTAGGTGATATTTCCAAAATGTCTTTTTATTTCAAACCTCCAGCACAAGATGTACAACCAGACACAAATGTATGCTTTCACAAGCCTATAGAAAAATCAAAAAAGTTGGAAGAATACACCCTAGGCTTGGGCTGACTGATGGTAGTATCCGTTTATTGCGACTGTCAATCAAGTTGGACGATTTAAATTTCCAAATTCACGCTGTTAAGACACACAATTATATTTGTTTCGTGATCATTTTTCTTTTAATGTTTAAAGTTAGTGTAGGTCCTGAATCAGCTCTGATATGTTGTCTGAGTTTAGAACATTCTGTAGCAGCACGAGGTAGAACTCGATCGCACAATGGCATATTGCACACATCACAGTCCCTGTATTTTTATATGGCAGTGCCTCTATGCAAAAATCTTTAGTGGTACCCCTAGTGTACATTTGTACATTATGTACAAATTATTGTACATGTGTACATTTATTACTTATAATCTCTGAACTTGTTGCTAATTCCCTAAAGATATCCTTTTTACAAAGTGTGAACCTTTACACACATATTATTTTGTATAGACAGTTATTTTCCATATATGTAGCAGAGTAAGCACAAGGGCACAACTCTACATGGGAATACAAACAGATATGAGCCTGGGGGGTGACAGTGACAGGCAGGCCGGCGCAGCCAACAGTTTTTCTGAGGTTAACTATGGTACAGGGGAAATAATTAGCACAACGCTGTATTGTTAATATTTGGCACATATAATAATATACTGACATTGTGTTAACTGGAAGCTCTCTCTAAATGGTCTTACCCTTTGCAGTCCACTCAACGAGACCCTCTGCATTGTTCTGGAACACTCTGTTCACATCTTCAGGTCGCATGCAGACCTCTTTGGTTTGGATGAGTGTAAAACCTTTGGCAGTTGCCTGCAGATGGACACAATATTACTGAGACATACATTATGATATATAAAAACATATGTATTATGAAATATATAGAAATGTATCCATATATATATATATATATATATATATAATGCAAGCAGTTTACCAAGTCTTTTTTATCACACATTACTCACTGTGGCTCTCTGTGGTAACCTCCTTGAGACTTGTTTGGTTTCATGTTTCTATGGCAACGATTAACATGAGGCTACAGACAGAATCATGATCCAAGAAAAGGGAGGAACTTCCTATTTGCTGAGACAAAGCTACTACGCCCCTGACGAAACACTAATGATTCAAGAGTTTGTGGTCCAAACAGTGTCAAAGAAGTTAATCAACTTTGTCCAATGAGCAATAATATGCTCAATAATAATTAGAAATAATTTGTAAATTTACTGTGTAATTTCAATATATTTAATTATCGTAGCACAATATTGAAATCAGAATAAATCATTCATCTGAACTTTTTTATAATCTAGATTATTAACTGCATATCATCTATTATAGAATAATATTATTGCTTAATTTCTGTTATCTATACTGCCTTATCAGTTTCACATTTAAACGTTTAGACTCATTAATAATAAGTGTTAATAAAGTGGTAATACTTCTGTAAATTCATATTTAGGCAACTTCTGTTACTAAACTTCCTGTTCTGTGTAATAATCTAGTCATAGCAGAATGTCTCATAGCCATTTACTTCTCTGCTTTAAAAGCCTTTTGAACAAAAAGTTTAATAAAGACTGTGCTAAAGTACAACAAATGTGACTAGATCTGAAGTAGCCTACTTCTCCTTTTCAAAACGTCTTCTAGGGTGGAGTAATTAGAGGAAACTGATTTCATTTCCCAATGTCATTGGTAAATTGAGCTTTGAGTGGCATTTTTAATCAGTCTAAAAAATGCCACATCAGCCTTTTTGTTCCATTTTCATTAACAAGAAAAAAAAGGTTTGAGGAAGTGCATTTACATTTCAGATTCACTTATTTTTTAACTGCTAAACCTGAAACTGCTGGAACAAAACCTCACATCTCTAAATGGTATCCTTACAGCAACAAAAATGTGTTGTTCCATAACAGCAAAAAACGTCATACAAGTCATACTATGACAATGCATACTCCATCCCTCAATGAATTTCCTCTCACCTCATCAATGAGCTTGCGAGCATTGGCTGTGGTGTAGTCTCCAGCAAAGAACACAAACAGGCAGGACTCTTCGCTCTCCTTGCGCCTCCCTCCATTGGTCAAGGGCACGATACTCCGGTTCACATCGGTAGAGATACGTACAGACTTGAACTCCGACTCAGAGTCAGGAAGAGGCACATGCTCCAACACCACAGCGTCCTCCGGCAGTAGACTCCAATTGGTTTCTCCCGAGACAGGCGTGAAATCGTGTATGTTGCTCCAGTTGTTGTTGAAGATGCTTAGACCTGCATCCTTGAAGTGAAAGGCCAATTCAGGATAATAGTACTGGAAGCAGCCAAACTTCATGCTGGTGGACGATTCGATAATGGGCTGAGTGGCACAACACAAAAAGACATCCATTTTCTTGCAGTCCCTTGTCCGGAACTGCTGACAGGCCACCACACACTTAATGTCTTTGCAGTCTCGGAAGAACACGCTGCCTTTGACTGGTCCAAGCACTATGCGACAGTTTACACAGTCATCAATGGTCACCGTTGCTGAATGGTCAAACACAAAGATGTTGCAGTTCTCACACTCTTGAATAACAAACTGCTGCCCATTGAGTTTTCCTGGCAAACGTCCTACTGTGGCATCCTTGATACCAGTCAACATAAAGTCTTTGGGATCAACCTGCAAGAAAGAGACAAGTTACCAATGTTGGTTCATTCATTCTTATATTAAAACCTGTATTTCTCATGGAACTGAAACCAAAAGCCTAATTTGCAATGTGGTACTGCTACAAAAACAGATATAATACATAAATGAGCCACATGAAAATTACATAAAAGTATACAGATGTTATGTAAAATGTTGTCTAACTGAACACAGTTGATCAAAACTGCACCCTCAATAACTGGGCCTTCTGATTTAAGGTGCCTTTCTTTCTAATCTTACATTTCTGGCTTTACAAGCTGAATCTTGGTGGATTAGTTTGGTGAGAGTGCTACAAAAACTTCAGCTCTCCCACCCTCAGGCAAGATCTATCAATCAGTCTCACATACTGTTCTGGTGTCTTTTCAACTTCTTAAACCAGTTCCAGTCCTGTAGTCCACCTGCACCGCTGACTTGAGGCATTTCCTTTCTGTTCTCGTTTGTATTGTCGCTTTAAAACCACACCGTGGGCCACATACAATCAGACTCAACTCTGCTACCTGGCCAACCTCAGTCCTATTGTGAGGAAGCGGACCTCCATGACCTGGCTGCTGTTGTTCATGTACTAATCCGCACACAGCTAACTGGAGACCTGCCACACGAACAAGTTAGACGTTGCCTTTAAGCCGATAAGACGCCTGTCTATAATTTCACACTCCTTGGTTACAGTATGTCGACACGGACAGTTTCATGGAAAACGTTAGTGTGAACTAACCGAAACTCGCAACCTTGCAACGTTAGCTCGGGCTCAGGCTGGCGAGGAGAGTGATAACGAACTGAAAGTAGACCAGCAAAGCACTGACGACGGTTTAAACGCATATTAAGAGCTTGCAAATAAGATGATAGTGTTACTGATATACTGACACGGGCGGCCAGAGAGCGACTCCTATGTTACATGCAGTAACGTTAGTTAGACTGCTGCCGCGCCCACCCGCTTCCCTTCCCAACGCTCATATTGTTATTAGCCGTTTGTTTAAGACTCATGCTAACTTTACTAAGCTAGCAGACTGAGCTAAGCCTCCGTGTCTTGGTCAGCAGGCGCCTTACCTTCTCCCGCTTGTCCCAGCTGTATTGTTTCGGTGCTGCCTGGTCGGTGCTGCTCGGCGCGGTGCCTTCGGACACGTTATTGCCCGTAGCGTCCTTCTCCGCAGCGGACAGGCTGAGCTCCTTGTCAGGAGATTTTCTCCTGGATTTCTTGGAGAAAAAGCACCCCATTTTCGAGTATTACCTGTCGAAGCGACGCTAGCGCTCGGTCAGACAAGAAAAGCCGCCGAATGCAGCCGAGACCAACTCCTCGAGTGAGTGAGGGAAATCTGTCTTCGTTCAGCTGCACTCGCTCTGTAACAGCACACTAAACATTACGCAAACCGAGACAAGACGAGTTTCCCGTTTCCTTCCACCAACAAGAAGCCAATCAACACATAGCGCTGCGTTACTCAGGACTCCGCTCTCAAGGGCTCTGCTCCCCGGCTCCGTCCCGATTCTCGCCCAGAGCCCTAAAGCGCGTTCAGGTCCGCACTTCAGTGACGTGGTGAATGGAGTGTAAAAGCACACGAGGGCGCACAGGTTTAGCACGAAAGGATTGGAACGCGCCGTATGACATCACTCGTTGCGTGGTTACCGCGCCTCGTTCTGTCTTCATTTGACCATCACTGACTGCAGTAGATACAAACGGAGAGCAGACCCTCAGTAGAAAAAAACCATAGACCAGTAGCTGTTACTTAAGCTTTGAACATACCTGCCCTCAGTTTTATTCAAACATATTTATTAACATTACAAAATTAGCAACATACAAACGATTTTTTAAAAGTAAGACTTACTATAGTTTCATTTCTCATTTCTTTTTTTCCGCTTTATTTGTTTCACTGGTTCTCTTTCATATTGGTGGGATGTAGTGCACTGCATCTTCTGTACCTTCCACTTCTATTAAACAGCCCTCCTATCATAATCTATGGTATTTTCACCTATATGCAATATTGCGGTGGTAGTGTCAATTACAGTCATATGCAAATGTTTGTGCACCCCTGGTCAAGTGACACAGTTTGTTGATTTTCTAAGTGAACGTACGTACACATCCTCTATAGAGACTACATTTCAATTTCACATTTTAATGCACAGCGAATGTTTATTAGCTGAATTTAACTTACTGGGGGTGGGGAACATAAAATGTGGCATGTGCCAAAGTTATGGCACATTTTATATTTCTGTTTTATTTTTTCCACCGTGTTAAACCATGCATTAAAATTTGCAGAAAAATATATATTTAAGTCTGTTTGCTGTAATGGATGTGTTAATGTATCTTCACTTAGAAAATCAACAAAGTATGTAATTTGAAACTTTTGGATATGGCTGTAATAATATATAACCCTTAGGTAGAATCTTGTAGTAAACTATAGTAATACTCTTTCTTATAAACAAAAATATGTAGCATTATTCCAGACTATACTTCTCCTGTCTGGCACTGGGCAGGGCTAACTAGTACTCTAGCACAAAGCACAAAGCACAAAAACTCCTGCTCAAACTTCCTTGAACACTCTAAAAAGGGATGTGTTAAATAACAGCACTCTTACTTGTGTAACACATTTTAGGTCACACTGCTTTCTGATTTAACACATTCTGTGTTGAAAGTGGCACAAAATGCGTCGTCTCCTGCTGAACGCACTGATGTGTCTAGTTAGAGACCGAATGTGCTGTTTTTAACTGTTTATCTGTTTTAGGAGTGAAGACTTTGGCACAAGAGCCTAAAGGTTTAAATTAGCATAAGGCCGCTGTTCCTCTTGCTCTCTATGCTAAAACAGTGAGCGTCATAAGTTATATACTATATATGTAAAAATTTATTAAATTAAAAACTAACAAAGTTCCTTCTTCTTTATATGTTCCAGAAAGCTTTAATACTCAGTTTGAATTAAAAAAATCCTTCATTTAGTATGATCTTGTGATCCATGAACATGTATTGTGAGTTGTGTATGATCATAAAAGCACATGCTATAAGATCTGCTATAATATTCTCTGCTCGGTGCAGGTGGGCTACTGTAGGGTTATAATCTACCACACTCTAGGATTAAGCGACAGCTAGCTGACAAATTAAAGTACCCTGCTGGTGAGCCAACAGCATAAGCTACTAGTCCATTACTGCTTTTCTAATAATAGACTGCTTCCTGTTTGTATCTCCTCTCTGAAACCTAAGAGGCCTACTGTGGTCAACAGTGATCTACAGCTACTAACAGTCAAATGAAGAAAAAGCGCATTATTTGTTTACAACCTCACATATTTGAGTGCTTTGTTGCAAACCAACAAGCTCATGTTAAACGTGCATTCAAGGTATGTTTTATCTTTGTGAAAATGTCTTTTCCATACACAAGCATGAACAAACTGGGATATGAGCCTAGAATTTTAGCGGTTTGAAGAGCGGTCAAGCCCTCCACCTTTAGAAGACAGAAAAATGTGTGCAGACTAATTTTAACCAGCAAATCTAGCTGAGGGTTTCTGACTGTGTGTCATTCTGAATGACATTTGCCAGGAAACATTGATAAGCACATGCATCAAAGACTACAGCTTTGTATGCTGTCGCCGTTGGCGGCTTTGTAGTCACTATGGAATTTGATACTGTGGATAACTGTAGGTAAAATAGGGCTAATGGTCAAATTTTCTCATGCTGATGAGAGACACTACCTGTTTGCATATTACTGTCCAATCTCCAAAATACTAACTTTACAGGAGAAGGCAATCATGTCTTAGCTTTTAATGTCAGTTAATGTAAAAAAGTTTTTTTTTTAAAGCATTTCTATTGCTTCATTCATCATGAAACTGTTACACAACATAAAGGACAGCTACCATGTTCAAATACAGTAGAAAACTAAAAATGAACAAAGAGATACTTTTATTTTGGACAACCGCGTTACACCGAAAACACAACTGTTTCAACCACAGAGTGACCCCAAAAACTAAAAGCCACTTTGGACACATGGCGGCGCTACTTCACCCAGTCTTTTACTTGTGTGATCAAAGTAAAGTACACTGTATCACTGTGGCAGAGGTGACTTCAGTATTTACATTCTGAAGTTCTACTTTCATCCAAGTGAAGATCTAGATGTGCAGGATTTTGTCCTAAAATTAATGTAAGAATCTCAGTCTTTTGGTGGCACCCTTTACAACCAACTTCATAACCCAGTCTTTGAGCATTTAAACACCTGGTAGCTTTGCTTTGAAACAACTGTTCCACCTGTGTGCAAAAGCAAAAAAGCAGTGATGAGGATCATGAGTATATGCTTTTAGAGCTGAGGAAAAGGAAGTGGGATCATTATGGTTAACTATACAGACCTGTCACTGCATAAGATTAATAAAAAGTCCCTTGTTTTGTTCCTTCCCTTATATGTGAATTAGCACGTGACATATGTACAGACTCAAACAGAAACCAACCTATTCCCCAGTGTCCTCTTATTTGTTAAATGTTACATCTGGCATGACAAAATCTTCACCCACAATATCAGGTCTGGGGGAACTGTAAAGAAAAGAGTCTCAATACTTGTTTAAATGAGTGAATACATGTGCTGTCATGCACTGAAAAGAGCAGCGACGTCTGTGTTAAGCTGTAATGTAAGGAAAGACTGGTGGAGTGCAGCTTAACCTCTAAACAGGAATTGGTGATGCTACAGTTTAGAAGGCTGCCCTTGGAAATTAAGGATTCAGCAGAAGAGAATATTTTGGAGCCTGAAAACTGATGACTTTCTCATTTCATGAACTGCAAAGGAAGCTGGGTAACATGCAAAGGAAATATGAACGTCCTGTTTGCTCTTGTTAGTGTGACAGTTCATCCATGTGGTTCATAGTTAGATTTCATATTATTGAGACAGAAAAATAAAGTCTGATGCTCCTGCAGATAGAAAGCTGCTTCGATGGGTAGGTTCTGTTAAACTGGAATGTGTTTCTTCAAGGGTTCTTTAGTAAAGAAAATGGTTCTCTATATAGAACCATGAACACTCAAAAAATGTTTTGCATGATTAAAGGGTTCTTTGCAATGTGATAGCATTCTTCAGATTGATGGAGAATGTGTTTTATATGGTTCTATATAGAACCTTTTTTAAAAAGGGGGTTCTTCTATTGTTACAGGCTTAACGTCGTAACAATAGAAGAAAAAAAGACATTATGTGTGTGCATTTGAAGTGGATATATGCACTGGAAATATATTAAATAACAAAAACAAAAGGGTGTGAATAATTGTTTTCCTTCACTGTTAGTAGATACGAATAAGCAACCATAGATATTAGCGAACACAGATCATAGTAACCTCATGTTAACAGGGGTAGGAAGTATTTGTAGGTGGATTTATACATTCTGGAGTATTTTGAAATGACAATACTTCTACCCACGTATGGAAGATGCTCCACTTTTATTCAGTTACATTTTAGTCATTAATATTTTGTTACTAATTTTTTGTGTTTAATGTCATTATGGTACATGGGTGGCAGCAGCTGTACAGCGCTGTGACCGATCAGACATCTGACTTCTGAACTTTATCATTTTATTTGAGACCAAAAGAATCTCAACAAAAGAACAGAGCCAAACATCCCTCAGTTCCTATGCTGACAGATGTAGGCATGTGTTCAGGACATCCAGATTCTGGATGTACTAAAGTTCCACTGCAGATCTGGGGAATTTAGTATTTAAGTATTTTTTAAACTTATGTATATATGGGTTAAGCCTTCTGTGTCTATCTTTTAAATTATTGTGAATTCGTGTGTTGAGTTGTGCATCAGCGCCCCCTACAGGCCGACTGAGCGCAGGCTCCACTCAAACGGCGCCATGTGGCTTTAAAAGGTTGAGCTGCGGACTGAGTCTGTTTTCCTTGGCGCTACCTTTACGTGTCACCATCACCAACACGGAGCAGAGGCAGCCCGCCCTGGCCGCTACTAGCATCCTGCATCATGGAGGCAGCCGTATCGCCGAAGGGGTGGAAATGTGTCCCACAGGGCCGCTCGGTGCTCCCGGCTCTGGCCGTCGTGCTGATCCAGGCGGCTTGGGTGAGCGCGGAGGACGGAGGCGGCGGCGGCGGTATGGAGGAACTCGCGACGGAGAAGGAGGCTGAGGAGAGTCACCGTCAGGACAGCGTCAGTTTACTCACATTTATCCTGCTGCTGACGCTCACCATTTTAACAATATGGCTCTTCAAGCACAGGAGAGTCCGTTTCCTCCACGAAACTGGCCTGGCGATGATATACGGTGAGAAATGAGCCTAAAACGCATCACACAGTATGTAAACCCCCACTTAAGTGCTCGTATGAATGAGGCAGCTTAGCCTGTTAGCTGCTACATGCTCCAGTCCCACCGACAATTCAGACGATGCTTGAGACGACATGGCACGAAAAATAAGTAAATTTAAATATGTTTTGTACGTTTGTGTAGTTTACTGGGCGTAACGTGTCTGTGGGAGTTTGACGTTTCTGCAGACGTTGGGGGTTTGACACTTTTTGGTGGTGTGGTTGGTGGTAACATTAGGACCCAGCTGGACCCATTTCTAGAATGTGCCATTATGGAGCATACAGTGTAACTTAATCCCTTTCAGTGCTTTACCATGGGCAGTGACCTGGAAGGTATCACCATTACCCATTTCTTTTTACTCAGGCTTTGTGCACGAAAGAAATCTATGTGGGTTTGCATAACACAAAAGAAAATTATGGCTGCCTCTAAGCAGCTGTTCTCTTACTTGGTAATTTTTTGGTAAGACTCCAATAGAGTGGGGCTGGTTGGTTTCCCAGAAATACATTAATTCCAAGCCTAGACTGCAGAAGTGTTGCCGACAGTAAATCACCACTGGCATTGTGAGTTCATCCCAAAACTAAGCTTAATCCATTTCTAGGAGACTGACTTGTGTTGAAATGTAACTCACCAAGCCAAGCACTCAGTGGTGAAATGTGTAAGGAAAGGTTAAAGGAAGTTTAATTGTCATCTCAGGTTTAGAGAAATCTTAACCTGTCTGCCATGGATATAGCCGTGGCTTCTGCAAAAGGTGTTTGGCGTTTGGTTAAAGGTAAAGGTAAAATCCCATGAGTATTGTTTGTATTTTAGTTTTCTTATTGGGTTGTCGGTTCACAGCAAGAAGGGCCTGAGTTTGATTTTCTGACCAGGGTCCTTTCTGTGTGGAGTTTGCATGTTCTCCCCATGTCTGCGTGGGTTTCCTTCCTCCCACAGTCCAAAGACGTGCGGACAGGCCAACTGGAGATACTAAATTGCCTCTAGGTGTGAATGTGTGTGTGGATGTATATGTCTGTGTGTCTGACCTGCGATGGACTGGCGACCTGTCCAGGATGTTTGCTACCATCTGCCTGATGAACGCTTAGATGAGTTCCAGCACCATCCACAGCTGGATAGATGAGGTTTTAATGTTTTTTGTCATCTTGACATTTTAATGACCCTATACTGGCCCATATTTATAACCTTGGTCATGAAATTATTGAAAAATTATTAAATGAAACAGGACAACAAAATTGTCCACTTCAACCATGAACTTATGTTCTTTCTTCACTTACAGTAAATATGGGAAAAAGTACACAATTTGGTATTTCTCTGTCCCACAAATTTTCATGTTTTCCTAGCTGTCAACTCATCATGTACTTATGGTGCCCTCCATGATCTGAATCTGCTTTGTGGAGCACAAACTGTCCTGTACTGGAGATTTCCCATTGCTTGAGAATGAGAAGCACTGCCCTAATGCAGAGACTCCAAAATGGCCCCGGTCACTAAATCTGGAATGCACCTACTGAGAGATATAGTAAACATTTGATGTGATGTAGGGGTGAGCAATACGGCAAAAATATTATATCATGATACTTTAAGATATTGTCACAGTACATAATAATCATCACGATAGCGTTTTTTTAAGATTTAAAGGGGAACTCCTCAGAGTTTTCTAAATTTCTACATAAGTTAATGGTTAAGATGTAACGAAAGTCATTCAGAGTGATTTGGTGTGAAATACGTTCTAGAGACACTCCGTTCTAGAGACACTTCTAAAAGCTCCCCTCACAGGTAGTTATCATGTGAAATGGTTATGAATATGTTGCCTGATCCCTGAGACGTTGATTTACGGTAGTTTGATGATAAAGTTTTGTCCTAAAACCTATTGTTAATCCATTTATTTTAATCCAGTCATGGCGGAGGGGTTCATGCAGGGCATTGTGTGGTAAAATAGTCCACAAAGGAAATCTTTTTTCAGATTTTCCACTATTTTGCCATCATCATTCCATAAAACTCAGAAGTCATGTGTAGGTTCACTGGTGGTTTTGGATAGTAAATAAAATGGCTATGTTTGTGTTGTAGTCATGTCAACCACTGGTTCCCTTCACCACGACTATAAAGAAATCTGAGTCTGTAAGTTTCTCTACAATGAACCATTTCACATCAAAGCACTTTGAATGACTTTGTTTACATTGCAATGACAGAACTATGCAAAAGTTTTGAAAAATCGGTGGCATTCCCCTTTAATAAGTTCGAACAGACACAATAGAACCTGTAGTTCCACATATAAAAAATTATGTAATAATAGTAAAAGTGATAACAATAACAGTCTTAAACCTACAGCTATAGTGAGTTTTATTCAGTGTTTTACAAACTGCATTGCTCCAGATCCAATTAAAAACAGGCCTAATTATCCTCACTTTGCAATAAAACATGTAGGTAATCAGTGTTCCTTAAGTACTGACTATATCCGCAATATACGCAGAAAAGCGTATTGTGACATAATTCATGACGATAACAATATAATATCGTCATATTGCCCACCCCTAGTGTGATGGTGTTAGAAAGTGGTGATGGTAATACAGCAGTCGTTTGAGTTCAGATGTCATTCACATGTTCTCTGTTTAGGTTAACGAACTTGATGAACTAGATTAATTAGATTCTGCTCAGTTTAAAGTAACAGGAGTGATTCCCACTGTAGCTGCCGCATTTTATACCTAACGAGCGAACCAGCACTTCCCTGAAGAGACGTTCCACTTAACTGTAATGCTGATTTCAGACTAGGGCTGTATAGTATATTGTTCGTTAATCATTATCACAATATAAGCATTTGCATTGCTTATAGTACAGAAGACATTAGTGAGCACTCTAACCAATCAGGGCTTTTTATCTTGTGCTCTGAGCATCCTTTTTGTGGCTGTTTTGATGAATCAATTAAAAATTAGATTTTTATTCAAGAAACCCAGTGTTGTATCTCGGAAATCGAAACTGGACCCCCACAAGCAGCTAGTATAAGGCTTATTGCAGCAACGTAGAATTGTGCTGCTACATTTTAATTTATGTGAGTAACAGTCTGATTGGCACACTGTTGTCAGACCAGCTTTTCTTGTACGGCGTGTATGAAAGCAGTGCAGTTTAATAGAACCTGAACAGAGGAAATCTTTAGCTGGGGGTTATAAGCTCAGTGATGTGTGTAGTAGAGCAGCTTGTTCAGCAGAGCTCTGTAATTTGGACAAGTTAATAACGAAGGTCTTCAGCAAGGGTAATGCTCCATCAGCATCATTTCATGTGTGCACAGGAGACTGGAGGAGAAGGGAAGAGCTGATACTGCTGGATGATTGTGGGCTTTAAGCTTCATGCTACTAAAAGAATACATTGTTGACGGGTCTCTGAATGTTATGGAGCTGCTTTAAGCCTTAGTCTGGATACTTCTGTGGGTCAGTATTGACTTTCCAAGGAGAAGTTGCCCAAGTTTAGGTTTCTTGAATAAATGTGAGTTTTAGCCTACAGGTTTGTTCATTTCTCTGCCATTGCAGATACCTAGAGATTCCCAGGGGATGTGCTGGGGAGGGGTGGCAAGCTAAGCAGAAAGGCCCAGTATTTTAAGTGAATGACACTATGAGAACCCCCCTCTGTTATTTATGGAGATACCAGGAGTAAATCCATCAAGATCTTGCGAGAAGTATACCAGACAGCAGACTAGCAGTCACTATGTAAACATTCCTGCTCTCTGAGAGATTACACTAGTATACAGATGGCTTTAGATCAGACCTCCGGCTTCCATGTTTTGCTAAGCTCTTATCACTTGAGGATGTGATGTTTTTGACTTGAGCCTCACAGATAAGCAGCAGAAATATTGTTTATTGTCTTTAATATCCCAAACACTTGGGGGAAATCCCTGTTGTTTAATAGTTGTATCCTTAAATTTGCTTATCTGAATCCGATTTACTCTTCGGTCAAAATGTGGTAGATAGAGGAAGAAGGCTTTGTGTTGTAGGACTTAAGTGTGTCAAGCAAATTTATACCAGGTTTGAACAAATTCAAAGCAGCAGATATAGATCAACATTGACTGAAACTGTTGATTTTCACCTTGCAGTACATGCATGCCTACGCCCACACATACAGTGGGGTCCAAAAGTCTGAGACCACCAGTAATAATACTTCTATTTTGCATTCTTTTCTAAATTAATACAAATTTTGTCATTGCAAATTGTATTATCAGCATAACAATTTGAGTGTGTAGAATCTCTGAAATCTACGACACATACAGATTCAGAATTTCTTAGTACGTGCTCTAATGACAGCGTAGACTCAGATTGGCATGGGCTCCACATTGTTTGTGCAAAAGCTTCTGATGAGATCAGATCCACCTGTGAGTCGTCTGGACACGTTTTTTTTTATATATATAAAGCTTTAACAAGTTCTATTTCACAAATTTGCTTAAATTTGAATAGTGCCTTAGAAATAATGCAGACATTTTGAATATTTTCTTTGCATTTTACTAAGTCATAACTTTCATTTGTTTTAAATTTCTCAAATTCAAAGAATTTCTTTTGTTTATTTCCAGTTTTGAAAGAAAAATCTCAGATTTTCAGTGTGGCTCCACTGCACATGCTGAGATACATACATACGGATCTTGTTTGTGGGGGTGTGTTTGTGTTGTATGAGCTGTTGATCCTTTAGCTCTTTACTGTTCAGATCTGTGGGTATAGTGCTTAGGCCCAGTCTTTTATATCGCTCCGTAAACCTTTTAAATAGTGAGTGTCTGCTGGTCAAGACAAATGGACATGACCTGTACACAGATAGCTTGAGTTTCTAAAAATGTTTCTGCTGGTGGTGTGGTAACTGCTGTGGGTCGCGTCCCGTATGGTGCTGAATGCTGAGTTCACTTTTTAACAGGATACAGGCTTAGTGCTTGCACTTTCCAGTTAGATGATGTGTGAATTTGTTTAAAACTGTCTCAAATGAGGTAAAACCTCATGAGA